CGTACGATCGTACAAGGCCTTCCAACACTGATCAGTGATTGCACGGCAGTCACAGACAGTTAGGTTAAGAAGAGATAGATTCTTTACCCCGCGCGTTCCCTAGATTGCCTATATCAGCAAGGCGGAGTTATCTATGCTAAGCTCACTGTTAGCTATATCAGGCGTCGTTCGTGGCTAGCGACCGACCGTTACAGCCGTATCAGAAGCGTTCCAAGACGCCGTCTATACACGCGCCAACCGACCGGTTGAGATTTGACCCGTGTACAACCCACGACCACCGACGCATCTCTAGCGAACGCAGCTAGCGCAACAAGCGTCAACAAGAACACAATAGCAGGAGAGAGAACATCATCGGAAAGAGCACCGGTAGCCAGGACACCGGCAGTAGGAATGGCGAGCAGTAGTAGAAGAGTGGTACCCACACTAGAGGCGCTACTAGGGACCACAAACATAAAACCAAGAGAATGGCATCACATCGATCCAGAGATTTGGGAGGACAACGTTGAAGCTCCAGACGATGAGGTAGGGATTACTACAGCAACAACGTACATTGCGCGTGCGATTGCGGACTATACAGATCGACCAACAGCAGATGAAGAACTCTTTTGGGAGTTCCGTCAGGACTTTGAAGGATGGACAGAGGCAATGTTCCTACGTGCCCAGCCAATATACACAAAGGAACTAAAGCGGATCCTCCGCTTTAAGGGAGTGTATACTGGCCGTATTAATATGGCACCTAGTGAGTCTCTAGCTAGGTTATTACGCATGGAGGAGTACCTAGAATGGCCTCAGGACGTATTCCAGTCGGCTGTGTTTGACACACGATCAGCTGCGCACATGTTGCAAGAGCGGGCACTACGGCAACAACGCAGTGAAGGATCAGTACAGTCCACAGATAGGAGATTATCAAGCCAGGCCCAGAGCCGAACCCAAACGCCTGTAAGGACAAGAGGCCGAGACGTAGACAGTCGGCAAACCCGCGATCAAGACCAGACCCACGCCCGTGTGCAAGGACGACAGGAGACCGTTGAGGAAGAACAACAGATTCAGGACCAGCTGGCAAAAACGATTGAGAAAGCCCAAAACCAACCAATCCGAAGCCAGCCTATAGAGACAACTGAATCCGCACCGCAGCCAGCCTATCAGCGCGTCCAAAGTCAGCAACCTCCCCTCACCTACAACAACTTCGACCGATTCCGCGAGTATACACCAGCATACCCCCGGATATCCATGGATTCACCACCATCTCCCTCGATAACCCATCGCGCGGAGGCAATCCAGAAAGCGATGAGGGCGCTGCGGAAGGCTGCAGCGGAACATGCGGTGAGCAACGCACTTGGTACCAGGAATGGGCCTACTACAGACGGGGTACTGTCACTGCCTCTTCAGAGTGAGGTGATGGTATGGCGCGAGAAGAATGGATGGCAAGGGCCGTATAGAGTCATCGATATGAAGGACCACGATGTTACTGTAGACATGATCAACGGCCCAACGACGTTCCGATCCACTGTCGTAAAACCGTACTATCGCGATCTGACTACAGCGATAGACGGCGCAGATCAAGGCACAGGTGGATCTCCGACCACAGACGAAGCGATTGCTGATGAACCGCCACTACCGGTACCACCAGCGGAAGCCAACCAAGCGGCTCAGCCGCGCAAGCGGGGCCGCCCACCTGGATCAAAGAACAAGCCCAAGGTGCAGTACCTGTCGAAGAAGGAGGAGGACGATTACGCCCTGGCCGTCAAGCTACGCAATGACGGCGTGATTAACGTCCCGGGCGCTCCATTCGAAGCATCCGATCAGAAGGAGATCGACGACCTCGTCGGCCGTGGAGTATTCAGTTTTGAGCTGTTTGATCCAACTCTACACGGCGGGTATCGTATCTTCAAATCGCGCATGGTCCGCGAAGTCAAAGGCAAGACCATGGTCCGTACGAGAAATCACGCCTCGTTGTTCAAGGTTACAATGACGAGGGCAAACACGAGATCCTGACGCAGTCGCCAACCATCCAACGAGCCAGCCAGCGCCTGATTCTAGCCCTAGCGCCTGCATTACTCGATGAGGGCATGGTTGTGGAACTACGAGATATCACGCAAGCGTACCCACAGGCACAAACAGAGCTATTCCGCACGGTTTTAGCGCACCTCCCAAAGAGCTTATAACAAAGTATCCCAAGGAAACAATTATTCGCGTAATCAAGCCACTCTATGGAATCGCGGAAGCAGGAGTCCACTGGTTTGCTACGTACCAAGGACACCACTGCAAGGAGCTCGACATGGCTACATCAACGTATGACCCGTGCCTCCTGATCACGAACGGGAGACGGGAAGCGTTTGGAATAGTGGGCCTGCAGACAGACGATACTCTCGCGATTGGGACGCCTGCATTCTCTGGTGCAGAAGACGCTGCGCTCCAGAAAGCCAATTTTCGAGCTAAGCCCAAGGAGAGACTGTCCAAAGAAGTATCACTCGAGTTCAACGGATGTACTCTAACGTTGCGCGGAGACACGATTCTACTTACGCAGAAGGGACAAGGTGCCAAGATCGAAATCATTGATCCGAAGGCAGCAAACCGAGCACAGAAGTACATGGAGCAGCGCGCGCGTGGCGCGTACATTGCGTCGATATGCCAACCTGAAGCATCGTTCGATCTTTCCGCGGCTGCGCAAATACAACAACCTAAGGACACAGAATACGTGAAGCTTAACCGCCGGCTGCAGTGGCAATCTGAGAGCATACAACGAGGCCTGCGATACGTCCCTCTCGACCTCGCTACAGCAAAGCTGGTAGTGTTCACAGACGGATCCTTCGCGAACAACCAAGACCTTAGCTCACAGCTAGGGTACCTACTTATCCTTGCGAATGAGTCGAGTCGACAAGACAGCACGTTTGATATTCGTGGTAACGTAATCCATTGGAGTTCGACCAAATGCAAACGCGTTACCCGGAGCGTTCTTGCCTCAGAAACGTACGGCATGGTTAGCGGTGTCGACATCGCTATCGCTATCCTAACACCCTCAGATGATACAGGACGCTAGTCTACACGATCCACTATGTGTGTACGGATTCATACTCCTTGTATGAATGCCTCGTCAAACTCGGAACAACTGCTGAGAAGCGACTGATGATCGACATCATGGCGCTTCGGCAGTCATACGAGCGTCGCGAGATCACTGAGATCCGCTGGATCAACGGAGAGGACAACCCCGCGGACGCATTCACGAAAGCAACACCAAATCGCGCGTTAGAACGTTTCATCGAAAGCAACAAGCTGTCAATCCGAGTAGAGGGATCTGTGCAGCGACCTACGGAGTAGGCACATATGCCTATTTGGAATCCCTCTCATTGTGCCCTTTTTAGAAGACCCGTTTTTCCTTACATCAGTCGTTACAATAAGAAAAGATTGCCAGTGTCGGCATACACACGGTGTGTCGCCTAATAAGGCCCAATGTACCGCCTCGATCCTACTTCGGCCCAACTCGGACCCAACGCTATGTATACCTTCGTAGCCCCCACATTCGTAGAATCATCATACACCAGAATACCAATACACAAGATTACCTTAGCTACTGTTATTCACCGTACGATCGTACAAGGCCTTCCAACAGTGTGCGATATTTCCGCGTTTCTTAGCGCATTCCCAAAACGAGACACTCGTCAGTATGAGTCATTTTGCATCATTCCGGTGTGCACCAACGCACGACTCTAGTACCACCATGACTACGTCTCTGCACGAGCCTCGAATAAAAGCCATACAAGCCTAAATCCATGCTGTGAACTCTTTGTGTAAGGGCTTACGGACGGCTTAGGGACTGCGGAGTGTGTATGTAACGCTCGTTGATCTTCGCTCCTCTACCTAGGTACTTCTCCACTACACCTTTCAGGTCATGTTACTAAAAGGCCGCAATGATCTCCTCCATAGCCAAGCTTTTGCTTTTGTCTTCGAACCACACCTCTGCCAATAAACCCTTTGAAATGTATATCTTGAAAAGCAATCCCTGGCTCCATATGCATGTACTGCAGCATATCCACTTTGATGCATACTTGGCGGCGCACACAACTTAGCTCCACTGTGCTAATCCGATAACGTAATACCTGGTCGAAGCCTCCACAGCCTCCTGTACATTATAGCTAGCAAGTATATATCGTATAGCCTATCCAACTATTTCCTACGTTCAGAAATCTCAATCAACCCTTCATCATGGCGTCCTCCAACCCCATCCTCTTTTTTGATATCGCCTCTGGTCCCCCAGTCCGGTGTTACGCTCCCAACCCCTGGAAAACACGGTAACACAGATCCTCCATCCCTCTACTTCATTCCTTTCCCTAATCAAACTAGCTACGCACTCAACATCAAAGCCCTGTCGTACAAAACTAAATGGATCGAACTACCAGACGTAAAATCCACACGCTTAGCACATGCAGTAGCCCCCGTGCGCAAACTCCCAAACGACGAGGATTTCTACACGCTCCCCATCATCCACGACTCCTCCACTGATACCTACATCGGCGACTCATTCGACATTGCTGTGTACCTCGATGAAAAGTATCCAGATAGCGGACTTCAGCTCTTCCCAAAAGACAGTATCGGTGTCCATCGCGTGTTCAATGCGCACGTCGATGCGCTGTTCACACGTTACGTAGTCCTTTGTTGCGACGGGATGCTGTTCAATCCCGAGACAGCAGAAGTTAGTAAAGCGGAATTTGTGAGGAGGGCGGGGGTGGAAAGCTGGGATCAGCTTTGTGTTGAAGGAGAGGCGAGGGCGAAGATATTGGAGGCGTTCAAGGCGGATCTGGAGGACTTTGCAAAGTTGTATCGGTTTGAGGGGCCGTTTTTAGAGGGAGAGAAGATGACTTATGCAGATGTTATTGTGGGAGCCTGGTTGCAGCTCGTGAGGGCAACGGCGCAGGAGTGGGGGCAGATGTGTGAGTGGCAGGATGGGAGGTGGAAGAAACTTCATGAGGCACTGGAGCAGTGGAGTGAGCAGAGATAAGGCATGCAGATTGGCTAAATGACAAATATATGGCTTCCGTATCACTGCCTACTGTGAGGTGTACGGTTGATGTAATGTAAGTGTCATTGATCAAGCTTTGCGGATTCAATAAAGGGCAGAGGAAGCTAGGTATTCGCCCGTAATTTACAAAGTATATGGTGACAATGTAATTTGGCAAAAGGATATTACTCCATCATCCACGTTTCGTTGCTCGCACTACCCAGAGAGGGTCGAGGTGGCTCGTAGATGAAGCCGAGCGTACTGTGACCGTACCTTGATCATCTGTGATGCGCATGCCATTCCTACTGTTTTGTGCACACACGTCGACGATCTCGACATCTTTCCAACCTGAAAAGTGGAGGTAATCTAAATCGTCAGTCGCAATCCCAATCGTGCAAGATGGTGTGGTGTTGACTTACCCCCAACAAACTCCAGCCGGCACCACTCGTTAAGTGTCAACCACCTCCTTACGACCTTGTTAGGGAAGCAGCGATTGCTGATGACTAAATGCACCCTTCCACCTTCCTTCGTCGCATCCAGTAAGTTCTTGCATATTTGCAAAGGTTTATTCAGGTAGTCGATGCTGACTACGCACGTCACCGCGTCAAATTCGAGACCCTGGCCTTGCCATCCACTTCGAACATCATTTAGGGGCTTGTTCAGATCCATAACCCTCCAATGATCTGGGTCCTGAAATACACTATTGAGTGACATCTCCTCCGCGTTTAGGCCGACGCCAAAGACCTCAAGTTCTTTTTTCTGTATGGCTTCAATGATTGAAGATGGGTAGAAAGACTTCCAGCTGGTACACATATCCATAATCTTCCCACTTTTCGGTAAAGCCGTGTCGTAGTATTGCGTGAGCCGCGCTATCGCGGGATCATCGATGTGCGTGACTAAACGAGGCTGCTGGTAAAACAAGCTATCGTCGTTCTCGTCATAGCGTATGAAATCGGAGTCATTATACGGCCAATTATCGTACTTGGGCTTGTACGATACCGCGGGATAGACTGGGCCGACAATGGATGTGGACGCCATGTTTGCGGACGCCATGTTTGCCACAGTGAACCCAGAGAAGAAGTTGAATGAAATAGAGCTGGAACGATTAAGTGATGAGTATTTACGCCATGGAGCTGCGATGACTGATATGTGACTTCTAATGTAGCGTGGAAGTGACATGGGGTTTTGTTGATAGCTAGGCTCAGCTTCGTTTATGGAGGAAGCGCGTTCGGGTGTGTAAGAAACGCCAAAATGATGACGTCAAGATACGCGACCTCACGTGTGCTCGCGCTTACTTTTTCATCTATCAGCAGCGTCGCGTTTTACCATTACACTCACCCGGATGTCATAAAACACAGGACATACCGGTGTAAAAAAGCCACTGTAGTCGCCAGACACGTCTATTCGGTGCTTACCCACGCGACATCCAGGTGCACTGGTCAAGATGCAGCCTCTCTGCGGATACGGATCAGTTATTCCGAGATCTCACTCTCGGAATCCCAATGCCGAGCTTGCGGGGTTGCTACGCTGTTCACCACGATAAAAGCATCAGCAATCCATAAAATTGGTCCGTCCAGATCTTTTATTCGGGGTTTTTTCAGAATGCCAGCTATACTCACAATTGCTCGTCTTTTTTTCATAGACAAAAACGGAAGGCAGAAGGCCATCGACGCATTTCACGACATCATCGAGTTCACGACACCAAATGAGCCTGAAGTGCTACAATACGTGTGCGCACTACCCATGGACGATAGCCTGGGGACCGAAATATACATGATTGAAGAGTAAATCCCGCTGCCTATGCTGTTCATCTCGACTACCTGACGCAATTAGATACACGAACCATGAGGCTCAAGACATGCACTTGGCCACCAAGCCTGTTCAAAATCTTTTACAGCTCTTTAGCACGGATGATATCCTCGCCCAACCACCGGAGGTTCATAATTGTCCTTTTGTCGCAAAGAAAACATTTGGGTCACCCCTGCCAATCTCGTCAACCCCAGCGATTGTCCTGTTAAATTATCCTTCAAAGTCCGGTAGCGCGATTCAATCGGCTGGGAAATGGGAGGAAATTGCCGAGATATCGATCAGCAAGGATCAGGGAATCAGCAATTTGGCAGTAGTAGAAGACAAGGACGCGAACAGCATACGGGTGCAGTGCGTGGCGAGAGACTGGAATGCTTTTGCTGATTTCCAGGCCTCGGTATTGGATTGCAGTGCGGGTGATGTCGAGATGGTGAAGATCAAACCTATCGATGGCTTCCTTAGTCGTCAAGGTAGGCATGATATGTGCAAGTTGCAAGTGTGCATCAAATTGTAAGGCTAAACAGACTGTAGTGATCGACGGCTGTAGCTGCAAATGAGAGAATCCTTTCCTCAGTTACCCAATGCTCCACGATATTAGCCCCGTGCCTGATGTTATGGCATAGAGGGATCGATCTAATACGTAGTGTTGACGCTAGTACGGCGCTGCAGAAGAGACAGAGGGGGGTCGCGAGAGGCGGGTGGAGAGAGCCAAAGTTGGATGGGCTGTAAGACTCTATTTTGTGAGGCCCAGCATTGCATGCGAAGAGGTGCATTAGGTCCACGGTACATGTGATAACCGGGCTTTCGACAGACCTCAGCCCAGCTGATGTTATGGTTGATTGTGTTTGGATCAAACCCAGACCTTGATACAAGCCATCCTCTGTGGGGTTTCACCTAAAGCATGCTTAGCTACAAGCTTCTATTTTTCAAAGTGTCCTTGGTTTTGGAGCCCATGAGCTGTTCAACCTGATCTACAGTCGTGTTTTTTGTAGGGACTTTCTGAGACCGAGCGTTAAAGTGCTTGCGTACCTTGTTCCACTCAAGATCATTTATGCATAGCTGATCGTCCGGTCCGCCATCGTAAGCTTCAGTCTCAGGGTTTAAGCTCACACTCTTTATCAGAACCGAAGTCCGGTAGTCCTTCTCATCTGCTGTGTTACGATCACAAAGCACCGCTGATTCTTCTAGCTTCTTCCGAAGCCATGTACCCTTTGGATCTCCCTTTAGTGCTCGAGAGTCACACCACTCGTAGAGTTCAATAGAGTACCGGTCAATTCCAGGAAGACTCCACATGTTGGCCGCAAGCAGAGTGTCATACACGACAGACCGATCACAGCCTGCTTCCATCACCGCGAAACGTACCGTCTCCAAATCAGCAGCTTGACCCAACCTTCTATTGTGATTGAATAGCTCCACTGCTGCGAGGTTTCCATCCAACATGGCTTGCTTCCTTCCATCAGTAGCCACTCGCAAGGTTTCGGGATCGTTCCAGTCTACACTCATACTGGTGATCCATAGTAAGAATCGCAGAAACTCGGTTTTTTCCTGGTTCCATGGTGCTCGTAATAATTTTCTCGGTATACGACCCTTCACAAATGCAAGTCGAGGCAAGTGACTCCTGGAAAAGACCATTCTCGTAGCATCCTCGAAATCTGGGGGCCACTGCGCATCGAAGCAGCCTTCATCCGTTGTACAGTCACAGAGGCATCCGCGAGGCCCAAATCTCCGCAAAATCCAGGACTTGAAGAAGCTCCATGTCAGCCACTTGGTAGCAAAGATTTGAGTCTGTGCTGCGGATTGCTCTATTCGCTTGCCTCTCACTTCCGTAAGAAAGAAGTCGCAGGTTGAGTGATATATGTACTCGGAAGAAAGCCGCGTCGCAATGTAAGGAGATGCTTTCGGCAACGCGATGTTGAGTTCAGCTGCAACGAAGATTGGCTGAAGTAGCTCGAGAGGTAGACGTTCGATTGGGGAGAGGACCATGTTGGCTTGGGGTCCGGGGCAGCTCGAATGCTAACAAGTGTAATGTTTATTGCGGTACCTTTTGAATTTGAGGGACATTAAGAGATTTTAGTCTGGGGTTTTCTCGGGGGTCTAAGATACAGTGAAGGGTTCGGTGTTGTGTCAAGCCGAGTACCTAGGTACGCAGCAACCACCCCGCGCTGTTCGCCTGATCAATAGGGTACCTCGCCCGGCTTACCCCACACGGGGTAGCGTCGCCATCTTGGTGCTTCCAACGGGTATTGACTACGCACCCGTCTTTGCATTACCATCTCACATAGTTACATTACACCAAATTATATAGTTATTGTTTTCTCGTCAATCTCCTTCTCGGGTCGAGATTTGTGCCCTCAAACACACTCCCAGGGTCGCTGTCCCATCCAGTATACGAGTTCAGCCGCCACAAAACATACAGTCTCTTAAACAAGAAAATCGGCATTATTGTTCACATGTTTTGAAACTCCATTTTGCTGTGAATGAGGACCTGGAGACAACGAAGCTTTCCGACACTCTTCTCCGCTAAGGTTCGTGACGTGGTGCGCGAAATCAGCCCATGTCTCATTTCTGTGTCTTCCAATTAGCCTAGCCAGAAGCTTTCCGCGCATACTACACCTTCAGCGTATCAATATGTGCTCACATAAGGGAAGTGAACGCATAGTTAGATCAGCCACGAGTGTCATCCCATTCGTCTCCGCCCCACCTGGGCAACCCTCATTGGGTTAGCGCGGGGTTCCCTCCGGCCCTTCTGTGGGCATCGGCTTACATCGACAGCAAAACCATGGCATCATCGGCGAGCAGCGGAGCTGTGCCGCCTCTTTCGAGTGTTTGCACATTCCCGCCTTCACTCATCTTCACATTGACAATCAAAGTGCTAATTTGAGAAACTTCGCGACCCAACCACATTTCACTCTGCATCATGGCGGACCTCGATCCAAGCACTTTGTTTGGTGTTAAAGGTTTAGTGGCAGTGATTACTGGTGGAGGAACAGGTCATACTAGTTGTACTCTTTTTTGTGTGGGGCTGACCAACGGACAGGCATCGGTTTGATGATTGCTCAAGCACTTGAAGCTAATGGCGCGGTTGTTTACATTCTCGGGAGGCGACAAGAGGTCTTAGAGAAGGCGGCAAAGACGGCGGTACGTTTACGTAGTCTGGACTCGTTGCAGCCTCTATATTATCTCCATTTGCTTCCATATCATTGCCATAAGCGATTTTCCGATGACTAATGTTCCACAGAAACATGGCAATATCCATTATTTCAAAGCCGACGTAACATCCAAATCCGATCTCTTAGCAGCAGTAGACCATATCGCCTCCAAGTCCGGCTATGTCAACCTCGTAGTTGCAAACTCCGGCATTACCGGCCCAACACTTCGTACCCTGGACAAAAATGCATCTCTGACCGAATTCAGAGACCACTTGTGGAACTGGGACATGGAGGAGTTCAACCAGACATTTGCGCTCAACACCACTGCTGCTTTCTTCACGGTCGTTGCATTTCTTGAGCTGCTCGATAAAGGAAACAAAGCTGGCAACCTGCAGCAGAAAAGCCAAGTCATATGCATCGCCAGCGCTGGAGCCTTCAATCGTGTACCCATGGCGGGATATGCATATGCTGGTTCAAAGTCTGCGGCTGTACATATCATGAAGCAGTTGGCAACAAATCTGGTGCCCTACGACATTCGCTCAAATGTGATTGCCCCTGGCTGTAAGTCTTGCTACTGTTTCATACTGTCTGGCTCAAGAGGAGAACAAATTCTTCTTGTTTTTGGACCTTTTCACTAATTTGCTGACTATTATCAGTATTTCCAAGCGAGATGACAGAAGGTATACTGAAGCAGGAAACCTGGCCCAGAGACTTCATCCCCGAGCAAAGAGCAGGCAACATCAAGGACATGGCTGGTGCAATACTCTTCCTTACTAGCAGAGCTGGTAGTTACATCAACGGAAATGTGCTGCTTACAGATGGAGGCCGGCTCAGTCTTTTGCCAGCGACGTATTAGGGAAGTATCAACCATAGACAGCACACATAGACAGATATCAGGCTTTTTAGCAGTGGGATTGCGTTGCTTGAAGATAGAATTGGAGCATAGTATTAACCTCGATCAGACGTTTTGCTACCACGACAACTGTATCCTCCCTTCATCTGCCTGGCAATTAGTTTCATTCCACTTGAATGTTTCCCTGCATATCTGACTTACAATTCATTTAGTCATCATCGGATGCACCGATGATGTTGGTCGCGCGGTACCATGCAGTATATACCTTCCTCTTCTCAGCCGGGGCAAGAGCCTCAAATTGCTCTGGAGTTGGCATGCGCTTAGCTGCAGCGTCTGTGGAAGGTGTAGGAGCAGCTACAGCGAAGGTGGAAAGGAAGGCAGTGATGCCGATGGTGAAGATGGTTGAACGCATTGTAGTATTTGGATGGTATATCGATTGGTATTCTGGGTAGCTTACTGAGCTCTGGATGCAAGCTTTCGACAAGAAGCTTTGCAATTTAGTATATATATCGCTACAGAAGATATCAGCCACAATCTTGCGTGATATCCGCCCGTCTGTACCTATCCAGCTCATTCGCCAGGTCATCGTCTTGCTCCCGTAAATATAGGGCAACCATACTACTGTAAGCAAATGCTGATGGGTGCAAACCTTAAGCTCAATGAGGCAGGACAACTCTACCCCAGACCCACTACTGCAGCTAAGCTTCGCCAATTGCAACGGACCGCCACCACAATGCTTATCTTTCTACAACATCGAGCCAAGTAAGCTTTGGACGCCTTGCATTTTTAATCTACTATCTTGATCTTACATCGGGAAGAGTTACTGTATCAGCGTAAGCGCTGGGGCGTAATGACGATGTTACATCACGAGCCGTCCTTTGCTTTCCCCTCTGCATGAACTCACTGCTGCGATAACTGATTTACTACCTAGATAAGTTAGTATACTCATGCTTTTGGCACAACTGCTAGGCTATGTAATCTATAGTTGATAACAAAGCGATTCGTAAGCTGGTAGCCTAATTGCTGACCAGCAGCTTCCCACGTCCATCAGGGAGCAACATCTGAGCAACTACCTTCTCCAATCCAGGATGCCTCTCCATTCGAGCTTCACATACAATGCCTTACCCTCAGATGAGGCACTCGGTGGATCAGCTAGCGGTAATGATGAGAAGGAAGAGTCTCAGTCGCTAAGTCAAGGGCGAACGAGGACCATAGAGGTGGTTTCGATCGTCATTACAGGCCTTAACATCGTCATACTGTTCATATCGGCAACGCTCTTTACAAAGTGGTTCCACGGCCAACACCTCTTGCGCAATAGCGAGTATCGTCGGGTTGCGCCATACAGCCCAATCTTCGAAGACTTCGATCTGAACCCCATAGCAAAGAAGATCAACGGATCGTTCTCAGAGTTGCTATCAGTCAGTTCAGTCAGTCCGGAGCTCTCTGGACTGACTGAACTGACGTCCTGAGGTCACTGAACTGGACTGGACTGACTGCCAAGACTTTTCAATTAAACTAAAACTGACTGACTGAACTGACGTCGCCGCGGCCTGCGGACTGACTGGACTGACTGAACTGAGTTACCTGACGTCGAACTGAGATAAATGCTCCTGTACTTTTGAGATTTCTTCCTCTGATAGTGTGCGCGCTAGCCCAGAAGCTGAGGTAGTTGTTGGCTGTATACCAAGCCTCTTCCAGCTCTTCAAGCTCTGCAAAGCTGAAATAAGCTCTGGCTTCATATGGAGTCTCCGGGTGCCTAACATGTCGCCAAGCTCGCTGAAAGTCCGCTCACAGTCTGCCGCTGCTGCTGGTATTGTTAGGACGTCAATAGCGAACTTTGAGAGTATAGGGAACTGCCCAGCAACTGACTCCCAGTATAGAAGCGGATTAAGAGACAGCCAATCCTCCTCAGCTAACGCTGGTTGCCGCTTCCATATCTCATACTCATCCTCAGCAAGGCTTGCCTCTAACTGCCGTGTGCTTTGCTCAATTGACGACTGTAGAAAAGCTGATCGCGACGTTGAAATCCCTAGCCGGGGCTTCTTACGCGGCGGCGTTACAGTGTGAGCTGAAGTGGCTGCAGAGTCCTTCCGCCCCTGCCACATACGCAGGAATGCCCGGTGGTTATTGTCAAGCCAGCCGTCGCGATAGTGGACACCGTCACGGGCAGTGACATGGGTGTCAGGCACCTTCCAGAGCGCTGAGAGGTGGTGTTTGTAGTGCGGGTGTAGTATTGTAGCAGTGTAGTAGACAGGCGCGTTATCGAATTTTGCGTAGTACTCAGCAAGCTTACAATGCGCAAGGTTAACGTTTGTAATAAGATGATCTTCAGGCGCATCTAGATCTTCGTAATTTACATCCTTAAGGCGGTCTTTGAGAGCCTCAAGCTGGTCAAGAAGCCACTCAAACGTTACTAGAACTTCCCATATAGCGCCGTGTCGGCCGTGTCGGCCGCGACCTTCAAGTAGCCGTGTAGCTTCGGCAAATGGCTCAAGGAGTCGAATGTATTCTGTTATTGTCGCCCAGTCCTTGCCGCTTAGACCCCCTTCGCGTATATATAACCGTGGCTGGGCAGCAGGGAGCTGCTCACGATTCTTCCGGCGTCGTGAGGTTGCTGTTGCAGCACTATGCTCCTCAAGTTTACACTCAATATAGCCATCGATAGGGCCGTGTAGCTCAGCTGCACGGACAAACGTGTTGAAATAGCTATTCCAGCGTGTCTTAACAGGCTTCACAAGCTGCCGGATGTGGGGTGTAACACCTAGAGACTCTGCCTCCTCGCACTGTAGGCGCTCTAGTAGTTGTCGAGTTTGAGGCGTACAGATAGACGCAATCACGTCAAAGAGGACGCCAACAGGACCGTATTTGCGCCACTCATCCATGTACTTCTCCTCTTCCTCAAGGTGTGCGGCTTCATTCTCGTACGCGCTACGGTCTTTGCCCCAAATTACTAATTGTGCGCTTAGGTTGAGTATATGGCAGCAGCACCGCAGCCGCCGCTCGCTTGCGATAAAGCCAAACTCCTCTGCTAAGGACTCAACTGCAGTATCATTGTTACTTGCGTTGTCAAGCACAAAGTACCCAACCCTCGCGTTGTCAACGCCAAATAGCCGAAGTATTGTTGTTGCTGCAGCGGCAATATTATTGCCAGTGTGCGCCCCGTGTAGCTCAGGCAACCCAAGCAGGTGGTCAACTAGCTTGCCCTCGCTGTTAAGGTAATGTACGCAGAGGCCAGTAAAAGCATACTGCCCACCAGTTGAAGTCCAGTTGTCGAATGACACGTGTATAAGCGACCGGGCTTCGCGAAGGTAGTTGGCAACAGCTAGTATGTATGTATTGTACTCAGTAATAATATGATCGTGGAGCGTTTAGTGGCTACGCCAAAGGAGAGCTTCGGCTAGCGGGCTCACGGCCGCAATCATGGCTCGAAACTGCGGCGTTTCTATTACGCGAAGGCTCTGGTTGTCCGCGACTACCCAGTCCTTCAGCGCGTCCTGAAATCGAGAGGTTGAAAAGCTTGCTGCTATCTCGTTTGCTACCTCTTGCGATACTTCTATCCCTTTAGACCTCATAATATATACTTGGGACTTTGCGAGCGCGCCCATAATATTGCCCTCCCGGCTAGCAATTGGTACAGGTCCGTTAGGTCCGTGTGAGTGTCCAGGCTTGTTGCTTGAGAGGTGTCGGCCGGCGTTTGTAGTGCTGTCAGCCTCGTAGCAAGCCTCCTGCTTCCGTCGTTGATGGCAGTACCGGCAAAGCCAGTAGTTTTTCTTGTACTTGCGGTGCCAGACGGCCCAGCCGTGGCGGTAGATCCAGCTTTTTGGCCCACCGCGACTATTACGCTCAACCTGGCGCCGCTCAAGATACGGCACACGCTTAAAATCAAGCCCGTCGTAATTGTCGTCGTCGTCGTCGTCGTCGCCGTCGTTGGGGAAGTCCGCCTGTACTGCCAAGGGCTCATCAGCCTGGGCCTCGCTCGCAGTATCGCCAACAGTAGGCGCGTTTGATAGCGATGGTAGAGGAGAATTGCGCTTGTCGCATTCTACAAGGCGGCGAAGGCCTGAATTAGAGGGAGTAGACATGAAGTACACCAAGAAGTATTATGGCAACAGTAGTCTAGCGTCGTGTGTATAGCAGACGCGACGCGACGCGACGCGAAAGGCTTACTAGGTGCGCACCGGGTAGCGCATTTCCGCAAACTCTAATTAGCTTAAAGCTAGATGCTTTAACTTATATAGGATTAGTGTCTTTATATCTAGGACTAGCGCGGCTTCGAAGCCGCACTAAATGTGGCTTTCACAACTCTAAAATACTGCTTTAAAAACAGCTAACGTCAGTCTAACGTCAGTCAGTTCAGTCAGTCTGGAGGCTTCTGAACTGACTGGACTGACGTCCAGCTGCCTCAAGAACTGACTGACTGAACTGAGTCTTGGCAGTCAGTTCAGTCAGTTCGAACTGAGTTACCTGACTGATAGCAAGTCTGGGTCTGTGTAATGCGAAGATTGGTGGTCTCTTCCTTGTATTGATTCCAATGATATAGTGCAGACATTGATCCCTGGAGTGTATTGTGGAACTCACCTTCACTCACTGTCATGTAAGATCAAGTGAAGTGAGCGCGCACGCGATCACGCGCGCTTCCCCACGCCACAATTTCTGTAGCCTTTCCAAACCAGTCTCATAGAAACAATTATAGTCTTACTATATCACTTGTTTAGTTCAAAAAGTCATCGCTCACCAGCCAGCAGACGTGTTGGTGATGAGGGATCCAATGTGTCCATAAGGACATACCAGTGCATGTCGTGAAGCAGCGCTATCAGAGTGTCCAACACAGTATTTCCTGTAGTTTGGATCCCTGTGGTAGCGCTCAATCTTTTTTGCACTTTTTCTTATTCTGGAATCTTATGTCGCCCGACTCACACTTCACTACAGCTTACTACGTCACAGTGAACTCACCCGCACGGTACAGTAGACATAGTCAGGTCCCCTTCACTCTGCGCAAACCGCAGGCCTTTGTAAAATCACTCGTCCTACGCGAACACTAGTATCAATATTCAGACTTGGTATATATGTCAAACAATCCAAAAATCCTCCGCCCGCCCACCAGCAAAATCGCAGACGTGCAGACTCGCTGGTGTGGTAGTGGTAGTTAATTGCCATGTCGTGAGCAGTGGCCACTGTGGGGTAAACAGGGTCGGATCGAAGTTCGAAACTGCCCAGTGGCGCTGCATTATTTTGCCTTTTCTTTTTTGTTGACTTTTTTTTTTGTAGGTCTAGTCTTAACTGCGGGGCTACATTAAAGGAAGTGAAGGACAAGAGAAGTAGGAGTGATGCCGCTATTGTAGCGAGTACCCTGTTCAAAGACGCCGAAGGGTTTGCATGAACTGTGGGCGTGGCATGCAGGTATCTTTGCGGTACCTCATCTGCATCGAGACTACACGATCTTGGGGTCAATTCGTCGGTTTCCAACGTCACAGACAACAATGCATGAACTTGACAAGAAAGATTAGAGTTAAATAGAGTATTCAAGCCAAATGCCAGGACAATCAACCCATCCCATCGTCCCAGCATCCAAAACCAGATCAACCAAGTCCCCCACCCCCGATCCCTAACGCCAATGCCATGCCCATACCACCGAGCCCTAGACCTTCATCCACAACGCCAGCACACCCTTGGCATACTCGACAATCTCATCGCCACCCAGCTTACTCTCACCATACAACCGATCGACAAACGAAATCGGCACTTCCGCAACCGTACACCCCATGGCCTTCGCCCTGACCATCATCTCCATCTGAAACGTATACCCCTTACTCTCGGTACTACGAATAACCTTTTGCAGCACCTCCTTCTTATACAGCCTAAAGCTGCCGGTCAAATCACTCACACCCGGTCTCAGCACCGTATCCGCGAACAAATTCGCACCCCTGCTCACAAACTTGCGCTTGAGATCCCAGCCAAACACGCCGCCATCACCCGCATACCGAGTACCGGTGACGATGTCGTAGTTCTTGGTCTTCTGCAGCGCAATCATGGGCGCGATGAACTTTGGGTGGTGCGAAAAGTCTGCGTCCATGATGATGACGAAGTTTCCCGTGGCGAACTGGAGGCCGTGGACGTAGGCGGTGCCGAGACCCAGTTTACCGGCGCGGGCGCGGATTTGGATGCGTTCCGGGGTGTATACTTTTTGGAGCTGGGCGGCGATTTCTTGGGTGCCGTCGGGGGAGCCGTCGTCGATGATGATGAGTTCCCAGTCGAGGTTCCTGGTGGAAGGTGTTAGTAATTATCATTGTGACAGGGGGTTTGCGGCATACTCCTCGGTGAAGGTCTTGTTTAGCAACCACGTTATGATGGGCAGGTTGCGACGCTCATTGTACGTGGGTAGAAGCACAGAGTACTTGTTCTTGTTTAATTCTGTCGGCGCCATCTTGGGTATTGTGTGTGCTGCGAATTGGGGAATGAGCGACTACAGGTGAGGTGTTGGACGTTGAGGTTGGAGAGGGACGCGGAGATGATCGTGTCCGCATTGGATGTTTAGACCCTGACTAGCCTCTTTGGACCATCTCCCTCCGCAACCCACCCCTCGGAAAAGTTTGACGACATCACGAAAAGAAGCGTGAAGAGCGTAGTTCACGTAGTCCACAAAGCGACTTCAGTCAATTTAGTTGACAGCGGGTCGGGTAGTGGAAAGTTTCGTCGCAATCCTAGCCTGAACCCAAAACTCCTCCCGCAATGTCACCCTCTAAACCGTTTGTACAAAAAAAGAAACTCCTCCTCTGTCTGGATGCCTTTGGGACCCTCTTCACACCTAAAGTACCCATTCCCGTGGGCTATGCGCGCGCCGCTGCGCGTCACGGGATCGATGGGATCGAAGATACCGAAAACCCGCGCGAAATAGCAAGGCGGTTCAAAAAGTCCTTTTCAGAGGAGTCAGCCAAAAATCCAAACTATGGAAAAGCCAGCGGGATGCTTGTAGACCAGTGGTGGGAAAACGTCATCCGCGGTGTCTTTAACCCTATGCTCGGGCCAACACAAAGATTCCCCCAAGGCTTAACAAAGGAACTCATGCGAACGTATAGTTCCAATGCTGGATATACTCTCTACAAAGACGTCAAACCTTTCTTTTCCATGCTGCAGAGGGCGAAACGGGAAGCTCAATTGCAAGTCAGAACACCCACGCATCCCTGGCCATGGGAAAAGACCATCGTGGGCATCATCACAAACTCCGACTACCGCGTCCCCTACATTCTAACCTCTCTTGGTCTAAACGTCATGAACAGACGATACAAGGAACCCTGCCATACAGCGCTCATGGAAGAAGAAGAGACAGACATCAGCTTCATCATCATGTCCTACGATGTCGGGATCGAGAAACCCGATGCGGCAATCTACAAAGCAGCAGAAGAGTTGCTGGGTGATGACATTGAAGATTATGAGAAGCTACACGTTGGAGATGATGTAGACACGGATTATCAGGGTGCCAAGGACGCAGGATGGGACAGAGTATTACTACTTAGAGGCGAGGAAGAATGTCGTGTTGCAGGAAAGGGCGTCCAACGAATAGAAGTAGAGAACAAACAAGGACGCTTCAAAACTGTCGATGCGGTCAATAGCTTATTGGATCTCGACACCTGGCAGCCCAAACAGCGGAAGAGGAGGTTCGTACGCTAATGCATTAGTCTATCATAATCTACTACCCTTTGCATCACATCGTCAACGCATCAAACAGTCACATGTACCACTCTATTGTACTTCTTCCCGCTAGCCAACTTGCACACTGCAATGCCTTCGCGTCTTGACCGCCCAACTCCATCTCACCAGTGCCCTAGATCAAAACATAGGAAATTATGAATCATGTACAGAATCTGCCACCCGGAACCAAAGGCTGTCAATACTGGTACCCAAGACCCAAATCGTGTTCGGATCCGTTCCCAATGCGCCTTGATGAGATGACGGCTGGCGCCGCGTGGTATAATGTGTAGCGGCACGTTTAGTGAGAGTCGCAATAGTCGGACAAATGTGAGTAAAAGAGAGTTCGTTGCCTCATCCAAACGCGCTCTGGAACAAGAGTTCTCAGGTCACAATTCCTCATCCTCCTCCATCTTCGTTTCGATTGTGGGAATGTGGCTTTCCGAATTCCCTCGATGCTCTTTCTGTGCGCCCATTATTGCTTGTCCCAAACTCCTTCGAACACTGTCATCGAATCCGGGCAACGACGCTCGCTGCTTTTTGAAAGGAGAAGCAATGGAGCTTATGTCATTCAATTCTGTCGTATTGGGGGCCGCAGATGACGAGGCCTCCGCTGCTGACGTGGCGTCGAGACCTGGCGTGGAAAGAGGAGACATGTCGGTAGATGGGCCTCCAGGACGGCCTAGTGGTTCTGCAGAGTGTTGGCGCTTGAGCTGTGTGTTGTTAGCATTGCATGGGTCTGATGAACTGTCAACTTGCCTTGATCTTGCGTACGCCTTCAGCGAGCTCGCCCTGCTTCAAAGCATCCTCAGGAGATAGCATGCCATTGTCACCAATGTCCTTGTCATCTTCCATATCCTCCACCTTGACATCGTCCTCGTCATCGGCATCACTGTCCATGGCGTCTTCCTTCTTTAGCTTGGACTTGGGTGATGTCTCTCGATAACCGCCAAAGTTCTTGGTACCGGCGGCTGCGTTCAGAGGCTTCAGGCTGCCAAAGTCGAGGGTTCCTGATTTTCGCTTGGTCGTTGGGGACGTGATCTTGGGGGGTTCTTTCGTGTTCAAGATGCCCATCTTGCGCAATTGGCCTGTTGTTGTCAGCTGGAACTGTGAGTCGAGGAACAAAACTTACGCTCTCCGCGATACAGAAATGTAAAGACCGCATACGGCTTGTCAGGGGGATCTATTCCGGTGACAGTCTGGGTGCTGATGGACTTTGGATCGAGAGTCTTGGGCTTTGCGAAACTCGTCGTGTGGTCAACGTCCTCGCCCTCGCCACCGCCATTCTGCTCGTCATCGTCGTGTGCGTCAAACTGGGGAGAGTACTCGCCGCGCTTGATCTCGCCAGATGCCAAAACGCGGAACAAGGCGACCTTGATCTGGCCTGCTGCTTCGGGCATGGGAGGCTCGTCGTCGGAATCCGAGTCGGTCGTGAAGAATTCGTCGTTGCCTGAGAGAGTCTCGACGGGCGCGTCTTTGCTTTCGCTGTAGCGTAGCACACCATTGCTGGATACCTTGGTGTCTTCCTCGTCGCTGCTGTTCATAGCCTCCCTCCGCTTCGCCCGCTTCTTCTCTAGACGCTGCCGTCTCCGCTCAAGCTTGGCGGCCACGTCCTTGTCCTTGCCTTCGAGATCCAGGCCGTTTAGCCATCTCTCCAGGCCGACCTCGCGGAAGAGGAACTCGCGCTCTGCCAGGCCACCGCCTTCTGACTCTGGTACGCTGACCCACCGTGAGTTGACCCACGTCTCTTCGCCGCGGCGCAGCAGAGTCGCAACCTCTTCCTTTGCCCGGCCGTCAAAGTATATGTAGGCAGCGATTGTCTCGTTTGGCGAAGTGGTGAGGGGCTTGTAGGGGGCTATCGTGGGACCGTACTTGCCCCGCTCGCCTGTTTGTCCTGGCAGGCCGCCGACGATTTTGGCTTTCGGATTGGGGTCATCTTCCGTGGGCTTTGGGGTCGAGTATGGCACGTGGAGACCTGGAGTGAGCAAAGTGATGGATATGGCAAAGGAAGACTGTTCAGGCTTGGTAGCGCCAGGCGGTATCTTTGCTGGTGGGACGGGGATATAAGACGTGATACGGTGATATTTTGATTGCTTCTGTATCGAATACTCGGGCAGAGGATTCGAATCAGCGTGTATACTGACTGCCAAGCCTAGGAATGTAGGCATCTTGCTCTGGAGTGGTGGTGTTGGTTGTGAAGCTGCGGAGATGGGAGCGGAAGAGCCGTGGGCTTGGCGAAAAATGTATCGAGGGAGAAATTATCCCTGCGAGAGAGCCGCCGCCGGAGGGGCAGCTGCGCGAGTAAGTATGCGAAATAGGACCGGGAGGCGGTGTGAGTTGGAACTACAAGTGTGTCTGTGTTGTAGGTTTAGGCGGAGAGCTTCAGTAGCGGGCGGTCCCACGATGATGGGGTCCACGCCCTAGTCACGAGCCAATCACGATTGCACCTGATCACAGCCTTGACATCCCTTCAAGGAGCTGCCCTGATTTTGCATCGACGACAGCACTGTGCGCTTCGAGGGAACTCAACAGGTGTTTGGCCAGACGCCTCGAATCAGGGGCCGTGTCTACCGGCGATCAGGTGTGGGGTGATGGATAGGGTGAAACTAGTGCCATGGCGCCTTTCTTGCTTGTTTGTAATTCAAGAGAACCAGCTACTACGAGCTAGATACTATAATACATGGGTAGACATTCACTGCTCATCGAGGGTATCATCCGTCCATATCCCAATACAAAACCTCTACACGTCGTCAAGCGCAAACATGTCCTCCGCCTTCGGGCGTAACCGGCGAGCCCTCTCCACTGCCGTCTCGCCTGGAATAAGAGGCTGGGGCGCCGGCTTGGGGACTTCTTCCGGCACAGCCTGTTCTGCAGGTTCCTCCATGACTGGTGCATCTGGGGTTGCTGCTTCAGGAGTCTGCGCGTCGTCCACGTCCATCCTGTCCTCGCTCTGCTCATCTGCGCTGGCGCTGACTGCCCTACGCACGACTTTGCCCTTGCGCTTCCTCTTCTCTGCCAACCGCTTTGCCTGTTCTTCCTCCTCCTTTTGCCTCTCGCGCGCATTAAATGCCTCGTCGATATGGCGGAGAGGACCCTCGTCGAATAGACGCTCATCTTGCCATACCCTAAGGATCGAGTTGACCTCGTCTCTATAGCTCCTCTCAGTCATACGGCCCATCTCCAGCTGCGTGGGGAGTTGCTCGAGATGCTCAAAGACTTTGCGGGCCACGAGCTCTGTGCCGATAGCTTGTCTGTATTTGTAGGAACCGGAAGGCCCTGATGGAGCGACTAGAAGCACATCTGAAAGGAGTCGAAGAGCGTTCACAGTCACCTGTCGAAGATCCGGACGGCGAATGTCATCCTTTCCGTCCAAATCCCCCTTGAACTTCATGTTTGTCTCCGTCAACTGGAAAGGCTGTATGATATTTGACACGAGAATGTGAATGACCTCATCCATGCCTTGATTGGTGTGATCCATTGCAAAGGTAGCAACAGCTGCGATTTCGTCGACCACAATGCTGCCAGGCGGCATGTGAGTGATCAACCATAGTAACATGGCGCGTGATTTAGGATCCATGATGCCGTGTCCATTGTCGACGCGACCAGGATAGTTGTCACCAACTGGGAGAGGCTTGTATAGAGGCTTCTCCTTTTCGTCTTCGTCATCACTGTCTATAGGAGTGTCCTCTGGTTCAAATGTTTGTAAATCGTCAACAAACTCATGGGGAAGTGGATCTGCTGGACCTCGCCAGATGCCATGATTCTTGAAGATCTCGGCATCGGGGCTATCGCAAACAATCTGATGTAGACGCCAACGGTAGTATCGGTTCACGGGGTGCTTCTGATCGTAGAGCCAAGCAAATCGTTCCTCCTCTTGAACTTGCGGGTCGTTCATCAAAGCAGCCTCAAACTCAACCCCACCAAGTATAACACCTTCGATGGTCTGGTGTACCAGCTTCAGTGTAGCGATATCCGGGGGTTGGTTGGCGGTGACTATGAGCTGCTCCCTGTCTTCGCGTGGCCTATTTCTAGCGTTTCCACCACCGCCTAGATCTGGAGGGGGCGCATAGCCTTTGGGTACATCGGGTGCCTGCCATCGTGCGCCAAAGGGCTCTGCACGTTGTGCGGTATCCACTGAACGACCACCAAGATATCTGTCCAAATGTAGATAATAGCCCCTGCCCAAATACATCTTATCGTTGAGCTTGTTCATGGCGTCGTCGAGGTCGCGCGCAGTCACATCCTTGTCGAATACGACCTTCATCGTTGCGGACGGCCGACCGCTCGCGGCGGGGCCCTGTGGTGGAACCCTCTCAACCCTTGTGACCTTGAGTGAGGGGAATGCAGCGAATAGTTCTTCCACGCGACGGGGGTCGATTGCGGGTGGTAGGTTTGAGGCTTTTGCTACGACCGTCGTGTATACATTCTCCGCCTGCTTGGAGCCATCTTGCGCAGCGGGACCTGTAGGCATTGCCCTTGCAAATTTCGAGGGAACCTGCGGCGCGAGTCTTCCCATACCTGGGCCTGGTCTTGAGTAGCCATCGAAAGGCTCAGCTTCGAGTGTACCCGGTCCGCTCTTCATAGTGCGCGCCCTGCCTGTGAAATGCCTCTTGCTCCCTGTCGGGACGAAAACTTCTTCAGTCTCTTGCTGACGCTCCGGCTCTCCCAATACACTCTTTTTAGCTCCGTGTTCCTCCTCGAGATCGGCCATGACCTTATCCAGGGCATTCTTCTCTTCGCGCGCCTTCGCTTCGGCCTCTTCTTTTGCTTTGGCGTTCAATGGCGCCTTGCCGGTTTTCGCAGCCCCTAGTGAGAACTTGAACGACATGTTGGCTGTTGGTTAGGGATTCACAGCAGATTGTCCGGCAAAAGCGTGAGGTTCGTCGACGTGTCGCGGCTGTTAAAGTTGAAGCTTTCCGCATACCTGGATGTGAGGGTCGGATTAGCGCGCCGGCCATTTGGCCATGCCGCGCCCCAGATTTACCAACGTCACCGCACCGCCGCACAACCAGAACAGTGAATCACCATGTCCTCGACACAAGATGTGCAAGCGCTTCTCCGATTTCTATCCCAAGATGCCAAAGTGCCACTCGCGCAGGCAATGGGCAAGGTAAAGGATTTGCAGACTGCAGGACTCAACACGTAAGCACGTGACAGCGCATCACCGCGTTTACTCACACGCGCAGGGCGTCAGATGTATCAAAGTCAGACCTGGAGACACTCAAGACCATCTTCAAAGACGACAAGGTCGCGCGCCAAGTATGGAATGCCGCTAAAAGAGTGTCGAAAAAGCGATCCGCAAGTGATGCCACGGCACCTACGCCAAAGAAGGCGAAGCCGACATATGGACAACCGCTTAGTGGCGCAGATCTTGAAGCATCACTTGCGCTACCAGAGCCTGAGCTAGACGAGGAGATACTCAAATCTACAGTCTTATACACAAATAGGGCACCTCTGGTACTTGCATTCGCCGTCACCTTGATCAAGTACACTATGTCTGAGCAGCCCATATCGAGTCGATTGAGTCTGGCACAAGCAGTCACGTCTATGAATAGTAAAACCAAAGCTGCGCATATCGGAGTTGATAGTGGAACGCCTGCAGAAGAGGAGGGTTGGGGTGAAGGCCAGCCCCTTGTTCGTATCATGACAAGAGATGTGAGAGTGATGAAAAGGTGGGGGTACGATTGGGAGTGTGAGGAGGTAGTCAAGTCTTCGCCTGATACACTTGTGGAAGAGAAACCAAAAGAACCTGCACTCTGGGGCGTCGATCTAGAGGCACTCAAAAAGGCGAACCAACCTGGTGCGCGTTCATACAAGGGCGGCTCGAGCGATCTACCAATCTACACTGCACAGAGCGCGAGAGCTTATCTTATCAAAGCCTTTGAAAGTCCACCCGTCGAAACAATCAAAGAGGAGATCAAGACGGAGGAAGGAGTGACCACGAAGACCAAGGCCAAGTCCAAGCGAACCGCTGCTGTCATTGTAGCAGAAAGAGAACGTAATCTCAGTCTACTCCTGGGTGCACTTGAATCACTCTATGGATCGTGGGCGAAGGTATTGAGTAAAGAAGATTTGGACAAGCGTGCGTGGGGCTGGTATGTCCGCGTTCGACCAGACGTTGCCCAAGGCGCTGCAGGCTGGGGAGGCAAGGGTAATGTTAAGCTGTCTGACATCCTGGATCTACGAAGACTGGACTAGACTTGCACTGTTCACGATCGTTGTGGTAAAGCTAAGATGAACAGAGCCAGTGTTCACTATCTACAATTTGAACTCGGCATTGCTCAGCTCCCATCCTACTCCATCACCCCCTTTCCTACTCGCCATCTTCTCTGCCAAGGCGAGTTTCTTATCTCTATTCTTCTCAGTACAGAGCTCATACACTGTGCTCAAATTCAAAACTAGTGAGTGGAAAGGCGGACTCTGGTCTACCAGCTCGCTCAGGATATTAGCCGCATCCGAGATGCGTCCTGTGTAAAGCAAACAGACGGCGAGGTTCTGCGCAACCATGGCATCTTCGGGAAACTTCTCGCGAAGAGCCTCAAAGGAAGCCGTCGCAGCGGGATAGTCGGCGTCAGCCAACTGAACAAGGGCTCTGAGTGTGTCGTCCACCAACTCATCTGGGGATACCTCGGAAGCTCGTGCTAGACAACGCCGTGCTGACTGCATGTCGCCCACCCTCAACCACACCAGTGTCTCCATAATGGAAATCTCTCTCGATTGCTCACCATCAGCAACGAGCGTGCCCAGATGTCTTCCCGCGCCCTCGAGATCGCCCATCTCTACCAGAACGTTTGCGACGCGAATACCACAGTCTCGTAATCGAGACCGCCACATTGGCTTTTCGTCGTCTGGACGCCTGAGTATGTTCTCCCGACACTCGCGCGCAAGCTCATAGTATCCCATTATGCCCTTGCGCCACTCTCCATACCCCAGCGCAGCCAGTCGCACCACCAAAAGTCGCAGATCCCAAGGCACGAGATGCGCGTTGGTGAGAGGGTGCCTGTAGAAGGCACTATTCAAATCGCCCAAAACTTTCGCTTCCTGCGCAGCCAGCGCATGCTCTTGCAATAGACAGAGACATGCTAGGCGGATATGTACCAAATGGAATAGTGTGTCATGGTCGCCTGGCGCAGCTGAGACGAGGTTGCGCGCGGCAGCAACAGCAGCAAGACGGTAGTGTCCGGATAATAGTAGTGAGTCTATAGGCGAGGATACGGGCGGCGCATGGGGCGCATTGAGAAAAGGTGGAGGTACATTGGTTACGGAGAGGACGTGGTATGCTTGTGGGTCTTGCAGGAAACTAAAGTCTTTGGACGGCATGTCGTCGATGCCACGAGTTGGGCCATTGTGTGGTTGTTGAGATGCCTCAGCACGTACTGGAGAGCGGATACGAGAGGGTTGAGTGGGTGCGCTTTCGGCAAGGGGACTGCGTCAGAATGTAAGCACGGTGTATCTATTCGTATGTATCCACATGCCATACTCATCAACTATGTCATCGTCGAGGGGACCCTTTGTCGTGCGCCGGACAAGGGCAGCTACCGCTGTTAGCTACGACATCTCCCACGACAAGGAAAGAGGGGTTTAGCTACTTCGACGTCGCTCATCGCCCGAAACGACACGGCTATGCCCTCCTCTACTCGGTGCTTGCATTGTGTATTGGGTCGTCGGCTGGGCTGGGACGGCAGTCATCAGCGCTCCGATGTTCGGCTGTAAGCCATGTAATTGCGGGGATTGCCCAATCACACCCCCGGCCGCGCAGCCAACGAACTCCACTAACTTTTCATATGCGCCACGAACCTGGGCCATGCATCCATGAGCAAAGGCGAAAAGCGAACGGGCAGTTGACTCAAAGGCGAACGCTTTCCTTTTGCCCTTTCACACTCTCCGCTCCTCCGTCTCTTTGCGCTTACTCTTGTTTACTCACTCCCCACCTTCTATATTAATATAGTCCTGCGAGGACACCCGCCATAATGCAACAGTCACGCACACGAGCCGTGAATGCTCTCAAGGGCACACGTAACTTTTCCACCACAGCCCAAAGATGCGGTATCTCGCCTTTCCGCAGACCTGCGAAAGTTGTCCCGAGTAAAGTCACAAAAGATGAGGCAAAACGACCGCAGAGTACCGCAGCAGCGGCTACACAAACACAGTCACGGTCGCGGCCGTCACCCGCTTTCAATCGCGAAGACTACAGCGAAGTCCAGCCTCTGAAGCAGTACCGGTCGCCAGCCATGGACCATTCCTTTGTTGGCATGACTGGTGGAGAAATCTTCCACGAAATGATGCTCCGCCAGGGCGTCAAGCACATCTGTATGACAAGTCCAAAATCATAGTCACGTTTACTGCAGTGTATCAATCGACATGGACTAACAATTTCCAGTCGGCTACCCCGGTGGTGCCATTCTACCCGTTTTCGATGCCATCTACCAGTCAAAACATTTTGATTTTATCCTCCCGCGGCACGAACAAGGCGCCGGCCATATGGCCGAGGGTTACGCCCGCGCAAGCGGCAAGCCCGGTGTGGTGCTCGTCACATCTGGACCCGGCGCAACCAACGTCGTCACACCAATGCAGGATGCGCTCATGGATGGAACCCCTCTGATAGTCTTTTGTGGACAGGTCGTTACCAGCGCAATTGGATCAGATGCTTTCCAGGAAGCTGACATGATTGGCATCACTCGGCCATGCACCAAGTGGAATGTTCTTGTCAAGAACGTCGCAGAGCTGCCGCGGAGAATCAACGAGGCCTTTGAGATTGCGACAAGTGGACGGCCAGGTCCTGTTCTTGTTGATCTGCCCAAGGATGTCACAGCCAGTGTTCTCCAGAGGGCTATTCCCATGAGCAGCAGCCTACCCACCACTGTCAGCGCTGCGACTATTGCGGCAAGAGAGCTTAGCAAGCAGCAGCTGGACAACTCGATACGGAGATCTGCCAACTTGATCAACATGGCCAAGAAGCCCGTCATCTATGCCGGTCAAGGTATCATGCAGACTGAGAATGGACCCCAGCTTCTAAAGGAACTTGCGGACAAGGTCAACATCCCCGTGACCACCACTCTGCAGGGTCTTGGAGGATTTGATGAGCTCGACCCCAAGTCCCTGCATATGCTCGGTATGCACGGCTCAGCTTATGCGAACATGGCTATGCAGGAGGCAGACCTCATTCTCGCCCTCGGTGCACGCTTCGACGATCGTATCACTGGCGCCATCTCCAAGTTCGCTCCTGCAGCAAAGGCGGCAGCGGCAGAGGGCCGTGGTGGAATCATTCATTTCGAAATTATGCCCAAGAACATCAACAAGGTCATCCAGGCGACCGAAGCTGTAGAGGGCGATCTCGGGGTCAACCTAAAGCATCTCCTTCCTCTTGTCAACAAGGTGGAGGACAGACCAGAGTGGTTGGGTCAAATCGCAGCCTGGAAGGAACGTTTCCCATGGGCCTATGAGAAGGAGGGCGAGAATGGCCTAATCAAGCCGCAGACCGTCATGGAGACGCTGTCAAATCTCACTGCAGACCGCAAAGAGGAAACCATCCTCACTACTGGTGTCGGACAACATCAGATGTGGTGTGCTCAGCATTACCGCTGGCGATACCCCCGCACCATGATTACTTCCGGAGGTCTCGGAACGATGGGTTATGGTCTCCCCGCCGCCATCGGAGCCAAGGTCGCTCGCCCTGACTGCATGGTCATCGACATTGATGGTGACTCATCCTTTAGCATGACCCTGACGGAACTTTCCACTGCCGCCGAGTTCAACATTGGTGTCAAGGTCATCATTCTCAACAACGAAGAACAGGGTATGGTGACGCAATGGCAGACCCTCTTTTACACCGATCGCTTCGCGCACACACATCAGCGCAACGCCGACTTTGTCAAGCTCGGTGATGCGATGGGTGTCCAGGCAAAGCGCTGCACCAAGCCGGATGAGCTCGAAGCCTCTCTCAAGTGGCTTCTAGCGACCGATGGTCCCGCTCTTCTCGAAATCGTTACCGACCAAAAGGTTCCTGTGCTGCCCATGGTACCGGCTGGTAGTGCGCTCCATGAATTTATGGTCTATGATGAGAGTACGTATCACACATCTCCACTCATGACGTTTGAAAGCTAACAACCGGAATAGAAGCCACCAAGGAACGTAGAGCACAAACAAAGTCTAGGTCAGGCCGGTAAAGCTATGTCATGTCCTGGTTGTTGTTCTTGATTGCAGATTCTTATTCGTTGTGTATAATTTTCTTGGGTAAGGTACTGGCGTTTTCGCGTCCTGGCTACGAAAACGGTGATATCAGTCACATTCTATTGGTCACATGTAGCCAAAATCAAAAGCGGTGTATGTGGATTAGGTATCTTTTCTGATCTCATGATAGTTAGTGTATGTTTGAGTGGAGTATCGCTACCAACATGCGATGAATATTCGAAGCTTGACAAGAGCGTAAAAGGTCTAACGATTCTACTTGTTCTGTATTCTTCTCTATTACTCTTCTACTCCAGCCAAAACCTTCAGGACACTACTAAGACTACCCCCAAGACTACACACTTGAAAGCTAAAGACTATATACAGAAGCTCTATCACAAGATTAGACTCTACTACACACCCAGGCGCATATAGACAAAGTCCTCGCCTCAAACCCAAAGCCCACAACACCCAGGCACTTAGAACGCCTCAAAACCCTCAACCCCCTACAAAAGATAATGTCAGGACGCTACGTACTCCAACACTGCTGGCAGAGACCCGCCTGTAACACCGGACTCCCCAACCCAGCCCACATGGCCCACCTCGTCGACTGCTCCACACTGCATGAAGTCGAGCAAGAGCGGCGCTCGCTGTCTAGACTGACTCAAGAGGCGAGGGAGATTCGGGTTACTGAGTGGAGTGAGCCTGAACCTGAAACCCAGGCTCCTACGCAAAGTCAGTGCAGTGTGCAGGGTGAGTGCGATAGATAGGTTTGGTGGATATAGGGGTGGTGCTGACGGTGGGTTGTTTGTAGATGAGTCTGCTGTTGTTGAAGACGAGCTCGCTGTTGTTGGAGAAGGAGTTCGAATGGCCTTCTGGCATGGGAATGGGAGAAAGATGAAGGCGTATACGCAGGCAGACGAGGATAGTGAGAAGAAAGGCGCACTCAAGCGTCTGTGTCGGTATCTTGGGTGTGGTGTCAAGGCTGCGTAGAAGTGTTCAGCATGGGATATCCTGCTCAAGGCGGAGACACAAAAATCTCTACATCCACCACGTTACTATTACATGCCGCCATACAGCTAGCTGCACACACAATGTCTACATCGGTCAGACGCACAAAACCTTCACAAAACCTCGACACACGCCATACACACACGCACGTCTCTACATCAGCCGCAAACAACCACAAAAACAGCACACACACGTCATAACTCATAAAAACACACACACATCATAACTCATAAAAATGCTACATCTACCTACGAAAACACACACAGAGATGTTTCCCCACCCCGCCTCATCCTCCCTCCAAAAACGCCCTTTTTATCGCTCTTATTCTTAAAAAAGACAAAAGAAGGTAGTAGGGATGCGGGAAACAGAGAGGAACAGAGAGAGAGCATTCATTACCCCAACGACCACAACCACAACCACAAACACCCACAACAGCGATACCAAAAGAGAGAGGAAACCCCTCGACTCACAGACGGTGTTTTCGAACAACACTCGGTAGTCCCATCACAGAAACCTCAACATCATCATCATCTCGACAGCCACACCACACCACGGCTCATACCAGAAAACGAGGCTTAGCAGAGATAGTCTTTCATCATTGCTTTCCAAACCAGACCAAGACCAGACCAGACCGGACCAGACCATGACAGCACAGCACATGCCTACATCTACACGGCCAGGCACACACACACAAAGCCTCGAAGACCTTCGTGGGTTTCTTATCAAAAAGCAAAAGCAGCCTATCGCGTCTTCTTGATTTCCGTCGCCCAGCCCTCGATGCCCTCACCCTTGCTGCCAACGGGGATACCCAGATTGACATTTTCCATGCCTTTAGTATCCTTCAAGAAGTCATGCCCCGCCATGCCGCCCGCATTCGCCCGATCCACCGGCAACAGCTCGAGCATGGGCAGTAGGAAATCCGCAATCTTCTTACTCTCCTCCGAGCTGAAATGATACTTCTCGTGAAGGACGTCGGGAAGGGCCCAGTGTCGTAATCGGTGGATGTTGCGCAGTTCGCCTTTGCGGTTGAATATCTCTTGAGACCATTTGCCCGACATGCAGAGGCCTTTGGGGAAGGTGCCGAGAAGTTCGATAATTTGGGCAATGTGGTCGTCGTCTTTGCCGTACTTTGTGCCGGATTGGGGATCGAACAGGTAGTCGCCGGTTATCAATTCAAATGTCTATTACCAAAGTTAGTTGATTTGTTGTCATGTTTGCGTGACTTCCATACCATTGCTGCCATACTCCAAACATCTGTACTCGCGCCCCATTTGCTGCCCAAAATAACTTCTGGTGACCTATACTGTCTCGTTTGAATATCATTGGTAAAATGATGCCCAACCCAACAGGCGTTTCCGAGATCCGCAATCTTGACTGAAATGGTTTCGAAAGCATTTTCGGCTTGCTGTTCGGCTTCTGATTTACCGTGCGAGCTGCTGGGCTTGTCGAGGCTGATGCCAGATACCTCTTTGGTAAGTATATCACTACGGTGGTCAGTCAAAATTACCAAACCTCGCATGTCTGACTTACGCAGTCTTCTCTCGTTGCTTTTGTGCATCGTCTTCGTTGGATTTTATACCGAGTCGTTCGGCCATGGACAGGCTGGTTCCTGATGACGGAGCTAGAGCACCACTCATTACGACACCGTCTGAAGAAGAGGGAGGACTCGGGACAGTCGTGGGGGAGTCTTTACCTGTACCCTCGCTCATGACCTTGTTAAGGCTTTGTGTACTTCCGGGGAAGCTGGCGAGCTCGGAGTGGTTGAAGCTCGCGTTGAGCGGACTTGGTAGCGGCTGGCTGCCTGTGATGAGGGTCCTCCGCCTCCGCCTACCGTTTCTAACGCTGTCCTCGCCATCTTTCTTCTTTGGTTCGTCTTTCACATATGTCCTCACAATCTGCTCAACGTCGCCAATTTCGATGAGGACATTTTCGGGCTTGAGGTCGGTATGGATAATGCCGCATTCGCGGTGCAAGTAGTCGAGTCCTAGTAGTACCTGCTTGGTGATTTGCTTGACGAGCGGCATGGGAATACCGCGGTGGTTCCATCTCTTGATCAGGCCCAGCAAGTTCTCTCCTAGCACTTCAAAGACCATGCAGACGTGCACGCCGTTGGGGCCTTTGTGGTTGAAAGAGTCGAGCAGACTGACGACGTGTTTCCGGCCCGGGTGGTCCTTGTTCGCGTCGACGACCTTTTTGAGGAGTTTAATCTCATCGAGAGCCGTCTCTGTGTAATGCGCAGCAGAGCGCACGACCTTGAGAGCGACGTGCTTGCCGTTTGTGTTGTCTCGCGACAACCACACGGTCGAGAAATGGCCCCACCCGAGCTTGCGCACAATGGTGTACTTGCCGTCCTTGTACTCCTCACCCACCTGGACAGGGTGGTAGCCGCCCTTGCAGTAGTCCTCCGAGTCTTCCTCGTCGGCAGTGTTCTCGGCCTCATCGACCGACGATGACGACGAGTCGGGCGAGTGGCTCATCTGGTTTCCGTACATCTTGTGTTGGGCGAGGGGCGAGTTTGTATTCTGCACACTGCGGGGTTGGGGTCAGTATAAGAATCAGACATGCAGCAGGCAGAGCCTCTTGGACATGACATGGGTGCGCGCAGGAAAACAAGTGCAGTGGGGGCGGGCACCGGCGTTGGGGTGACGTGATGGGTGGTGGTAGCAGCGGACGTACTTGTAGTGAAAGGACGGCGTTGAGCCTGACGGCGAAGTGTTCTGGCCGCCTTGGTTCTCCGACGTGATGATGGGCTTCAGGTCCTGGCCCTTCCGTCGCTTCTTTCCTCCGTTGCTGTTTGCTGCGTTTGCCACTTGTTTGGCCTTGTTGATGGCCGCCTTCTTCATGTCGGTGCCATTCATGTTTGACTTCCCCCGCCACGCGGTGGGCTGGGCGGTGGGCGGGATTGACGCTCGAGGGTTGCTGGGATGCTGTGTGCGGTGTGCGGTCAGGCGCTCCGGACGCGTTGGGCAGCGCTCATGGGCGAAACGTCGGATATGGCTTCTAGCTGTGCAATCTGGCAGACGCTGGCCAAGTGTGGCTGTTGTCGCACTGCCCTGCGATTTCTTCAATTGCTGGAGATGGGCTTAGCGCTCCCCTCGCCAGCCTGGCCTGTACTGGCTCCTGATTGGTGCTTGCGTGGGGGTTGATGCGAATACCTGAGACACGGACCGACGACGGCAGAGACGGCAGAGACGGCAGAAGATGTCAAACAGAACTTGTGCAGATGCGCGATTTGTGCTTGAAGGCTGGGGATGGGGAATCAAAGGAAATGGGAGCTGCAAGACCTGCCCTGATGTGCTGCGCGTCGAGCCCGGCAGGAAGCAAGCCAGACGGAAAATATGACATCAGACGACGGCTCCTTCAAGCTAGAAATAGTCGCCTGCTACCACTTTAGTTTGCCTCTAGCAAGCCCGCGATCCAGAAAGGACATGCATCTGCTGTGTTAGTCAACCTTCTGTGAGGCTTTTATCTGCTCGGCATACCAGCGATGCCGGTCGACCAACACGTGCGCCTCAAATCACGCGTACCTGCACAGTCACAGACGGACTTTTGATTCCAATCCTAAAGACTCTAAACGGGAAACTGACCCTCGTTCTTCTCCACCCTCGTCCACAAATGTCATCGCTGCCAACTGCCGTCAAGCAGGAGCGACCAACTCTGGAAAACAACGCCCTCGATATAATACATGTTGACCGTACCCATCGCTATGCAATACTATAAATATCCAATACATGTTGGTGTCACCCGAGCTGCAAGTCATGCCCGAATCAACCGCTTGCACGTCCGACTGCAGAGAGCCGCAGTGGGCCCATTACTTGGCCGAAACCGCCGCCATCCACTTTTGCTCGTCCTTTTTGTCAAAGTGCAACAGCATCCCCAGCACGGGTATGAGTTGCTGTTGGTATTTCTTGTCTCTCTGTTCAAGGAATTGCAGCAGTACGTTCTTGAGGTACACATAGTCGACTGCCTCCGCAACAGCTCCGCCGCCCTTGGGTGTTGGAGACGCAAGTCGCGACCGCGTCGATTCGATCGATGATCGTGACGATTGGGCCATGGACTCGGGGCCCCGTGCTTTCATCGTTCGCAGTTCATCCGACATTGCCTACGGGGATTAGTATACACGGTGCAAAACTTCATATCAAGACATACCTTGCTTGACTTTTGGACCTTCTCCAACCGGCTCTGAGTCTCGTCGAAGGCGCGGCGCAAGTCGCCCTTTTCCTTCTCCAGTTCGTGCGCTTGCTTCTCGCTTTCGTCCAATGCGTCTCGCAGCTGGCTCATGGCGAGTCTGACCTCTGAAGCCTCCTCACTGGCTTGTGCCGCTCGTTTCTCCAGATCCTCGGTTTGCTTGCGAAGCTCCTTTTCGGCAATCACAAGATCCTCCTTGTCCTCTACAGCTCGTGCCTGTGCACGCTCAGCGTCGCGGACCTTTTGCTTCAACTCCTCGAGCTCGCGAGCCCGACGACGACTGAATGTGCTGACCTGCTCTTCAGCACGCTCGCGCTCTTCGACAGCAACATCAAGACGCTCTTGCATCTCGCGTACACGCGCATCAGCCCGGCCTTGCGCGTCGTTTAGTAGTCTTCTCATTGTCTCAGCTTCGCGTCCGCGCTCACTCAACAACCGATGTGCATCTGCGAGCTCTTCTTCCAAGCTTTCGCTCTTGGCGCGAATTTCCTTCATCTGAGTGCTGATTTCCTGTGTCTGGTCTTGCATGCTGTTCATGAGGTCTTGAGCGCTCGCGTATTGAGCAGACTTTAGCTGGATGTCGTCACGTAGGCCTGCTGCTTCGCGTGTAATCTTTGCAACCTCTTCCTCGAGATCATGAATCTTCTTGCGTGATGTCTTGAGCTCCTCCTGGGCCTTGGCCAAGTCTTTTGTCAGTTTGTCTCGGCTTTCAATGACATCCTTTCGCTCCGTCTCGGAATTCTGGAGGTCTCGCTGAAACTTCTTGTTGCTCTCTTCCAAAGCTAGCCTCTGACTAGTCTCCTGCTTGATCTTTTCATTGAGCGTCTTGATCGTGCTTTCCTTTGTGGATAATTGCGAGCGGAAGTCGGCGACTTCAGACTTGAGATCCTTCTCACGGCTTTCCAATTTGCGGACCTCAGCCGTCTTGGTGGAGAGCTCGTCCTTGGTAGTGCGTAGCTCGGCAACCTCTTTTCGCAAAGAGGTCAGTTCGGGCTGTGCCTTTTGCAAGACCTCTCGCATGTCAGTCAGATCCTTGAAGCGAGACGCGGCAAGCTTTTCGGCGATTGATAGATCAGTCTGGAGCGTTTCCGCCTTGGTCTTGAGTTCAGTGAACTCGGCAGTCAAAGCTTCCCGCTCCTGCTGAGAGGACTCATTCGCTGCTTTACTAGTCTTAAGCTCCGCGATTTCAACCTCAAGTTTAGTCAGATTCTCCTGAAGCGCTGTCTTCTCTGCCTGCAATTGCTTGACCTTGTCCTTAGCTTCGGTATGCTCAAGACCATAGTCGAGGAGATCTTGGCGCAAGGTATCAATCTCCTCTTGCATATCTTCCTGGTCTTTGGCCTTCTTTCGGAGTAAATCAATCGACGAGGACTTCTCTGCAACCTCGCTCTGCAGCGTCTCAATCTCAACCACCTTCTCTTCCAAGTCCGATCTGAGTTGCGCGACGTTCTTCAGGGCTTCTTCCAGCTGGGATGGCGAGAACTCTGCATCACGGGGGCTGAGCAGACCTTCGTCTCCGGCTTCACTTGGAGTGGCTTCCGGAGTCATTGCCCCGCTGGCCTCGGGTCCCTTTCCACCCTTCTTATTCTTCTTATTGCGGGCCCTCTTCTTCGCTGCCGCACTCTGGGTAGGAGTAGGTGGGGGTTGTAGGGTAGACTCGGTCTTGGCTGCCGGCTTCTCCGTGTTTGCTTTTGCTAGATCCTTCTTTGCTTGCTCAAGTTCAACCATTGTGCTATCACGTTTTGCCTCTGTGGTCTTGAGTTGCTCGCGAACCTTGGTAAGCAGGCCGTTCATGGTTTCAACCCGCTTTTCACTCTTCGCATGCGTGTCACGCAATTGCGAGAGTTCGGCGTGGAGCTCATTGACGCGGCGTTGGAGCGCTTGAATCTGGTCATCTTCAACAAGTCTCTCTCCCTTCTCGGCGTGCAACTCTTTCAGTTCCTTGGCTGTGGTCCTCAGCTTCTCCTTGAGCTCATTGATCGCAGTCTCGTTTTGCTTGTAGTCGGCCTTGTACTTGCGTAGGTCCTCCTCGGCCTTTTCGGCTCGCGTTGTGAGGTGTTCGATGATACTATTGAGTTCCTTTTCACGGTCGTCGGCGTCCTTTTGTAGTCGGTGGTGGGTGTCCTTGAAGGAATTCAGATCGTTGGAAGTAGTTTCCAAATTCTGCATAAAAGACTGGGCTGATTCTTGTGCGGTCGAAAGCTCCTCCTTGAGCGTCTTGTTCTCCTCCTCAAGCTTTCCAATCTTCTCCACACTCTCCTCGAGTTGTGACTGAAGGCGGGGTAATTCGCTGTCGTAGGAGAAGAAGTCTTCGGTTTCTTCGGTAGCCGCCGTTTCCTTGGACGCTTTTGATGCTGTAGAAGGCGCAATAGACTCGGTCTGGGTAGAGTCATCTTGTGGAGTCTCGGTGCTGGCGGGTGCTTGCGACTTGAGTGTCTCCACCTCTTCTGTAGCCTCCTTTGCGCGCTTCTCAGCATCCTCTAGCTTCTTATTAAGCTCGTCGCGCTCCTTAGAGACGCGCTTGAGTTCTTCCATGAGCATGTCGCTTTTGACGTTTAGTTGACCCAGGTATTCGACAAACGCGCCAGTGTCGGTGATGGAAGTAAGGGGAGTATATTCGCGTAGGGAGCTTTCAAAGGCATCGATGGTGCCCACTCTGGCATGTGCGATGCGGTACGACCGAAGTAGTTCTAGAAATGGGATTAAGCTTGGCGCATTCACTTCAAGTACTTTCAGACGAGAGGTCCATACCCGTGTATTTAGGTTCCAACTTATCCAGTCTGCGCAATCGTTGTCTGATTTCGGGCGGAATCTCTGGTGGCTGCTCTGGCTTCTCTTCCACTTTGGCAGGTGGCGCCTCCTCGTCCTTGTTGCCTTCGCCATTCTCGGCGCTGACATCGGCAGGTGGCGCCTCCTCCTTTGGTTGCGGTGTCGCTGCCGGACTTGGCTGGTCATCTTCCTCTCCTATGACAAACTCCGGGTCAAACTCAGAGGGATCAGGGCCCTTGCCAGCTGGCGCAGCCTTGCTGGAGTCGGCATCCTTGGACCGTGCAGCTCGTGTCGCGGGGGAAAGGGTGCGTGAATTAGAGCGTCGCGCCGAAGAAGATGATCGCGACGGGGTGGTGGGCTGGGTAGCTTTTTGGCGAGCTTGCTCTTCTGCTATCCTCGCGTCTATGGCTCCCCGAAGGCGCTGTATTCAATCAGCCTCACTACCATGTAACTTGGACGAGGGCGCGGTACCTGGAACATGGTGACGGTATTGATGGAATTATGAAAGAGAAGAAGAAGACATGGGCCTGAGGATACCTAATTATTTGTCCTAATAGTAAAAGCAAGACCGAAACGTTCGTTGGAAGTGAACACTATTCTGACACGTTCTGGGGTTTGACGGGGCACGTTAGCACGGATGCATACCCATCACCCATGCCGCCTGCGCCCATGGTCCCGCTAGGATCAATCTTCGGTAAACTAGTCAAATCCCAACTTTTTCCCACCATCGTCTTCCCCACCACAACGACAATCTTGCGCAATGGCGAACGTAGAGATTTCGCTGCCGTTGCCCGTCCTGCCTGAGGGATGGGCCGGCGAAAAGGACTTCAAGGCCATCGGCCAGCTGAGTGATGCAACCGACCGCAATATTGAGCCTGTTGGCCCGCACTTCCTGGCATATGCCCGCAGAGTACGTTTTCGAATTGACGCCACTTGTATGCATCACTAATAGTATTTCCCTCTGCAGAAGCGACACAAGCGCACATTCTCCGAAGACGACCGCATTCAGGCCCAGGCCAATGTCAAGAGTGTTGAAGAGGAGGACCCCGACGATGTCGACGAGCCTGAAGACCCTCTGATGTTGCAGCGTGAGGCCAAGGACTGGAAGGTGAGACTGGCTTCTCTATCTAATTCTAGAACCCTACTAATACTCTATCAGTCCCAAGATCACTACGCTGTGCTCGGCATAACCCGCTACCGATGGCGCGCCACCGACGACCAGATCAAGCGCGCACACCGCAGGAAGGTGCTCAAGCATCATCCCGACAAGAAGGCAGCCAAGGGTGGAACCGAAGACGACCAATTCTTCAAGTGCATCCAAAAGGCCCACGAGGTTTTGTCCGACCCAGTCAGGAGGAGGCAATTCGACTCGGTCGACGAGGGCGCTGAGGTTGAACCACCTTCCAAGAAGGAGACGCAAAAGGGCAACTTCTACAAGCTCTGGGGCAAGGTCTTCGAGGCCGAAGGACGCTTCTCCAACAAGCAGCCAGTTCCCAAGCTTGGCAACGACAAGAGCACCAAGGAGGAGGTCGAGCACTTTTACAACTTCTGGTACAACTTTGACAGCTGGAGGACATTCGAATACCTTGACGAGGACGTCCCCGACGACAATGAGAACCGCGACCAGAAGCGTCACGTCGAGCGCAAGAACACGGCTGCCCGCCGCAAGAAGAAGACCGAGGACACTGCACGTCTGAGGAAGTTGGTCGACGACGCATTGGCCCTGGATGAGCGCATTAAGAAGTTCCGCCAGGCTGAACACGCACAAAAGAACAAGCGTCGTCTCGAAAAGGAGGCGGCACTGAAGCGCGAAGCTGAAGAGGCCGAGGCCAGGAAGGCTGAAGAGGCCAAGGCTGCAGCTGAGAAGGAGGCCGCTGAGAAGGCGGCCAAAGCTGACAACAAAAAGGCAAAGGAGGCGGCCAAGAATGCGGCTAAGAAGAACAAGCGTGTTGTCCGCGGTGCTGTCAAGGACGCAAACTACTTCCATGGCGCCGGAGACGCACCTGCTTCTCAAGTTGAAGCTGCTCTCAACGACGTCGATCTCCTCATCACAAAGATGGACCACGAAGAATTGGCCGAGTTGACTAGCAAGCTCAACAACGTCAAGGACGCTGGTAAGATCAAGGAGATTTTCACCGAGGAGGCCCAGCGTCTCATTGGCGCTGCGAAGCTCACACAGGGTGAGCTCAGGGCCCTGGTTTAAAAATGCCGCATCTTCACCCACTTCTTGATAGACATGTAGACTTGACTCGGATAACGACAATTGATGCTTACGATGCCTGTGCCAACTCTTTCCATCCTTTTTCCATTCTCTATTAGTCCTCGCTCCCCCTTGCAAGGCCCCCACTTCTTCACATGTGTCCGACGCATCGCGCGGGTGCTTCCGCGCAGGGCTGGGAGGTGATGGCGGGAAGCGCGACACACGACCAAGGAGCCAAGCACTGCCGTCACCGGAACGGGCTGTACGTGAACACCTACAAAGTTGGTCTCGATCCTTGATTTCGTCTACGAAACGCACACGACTCTTCACTCTTCTACGCATCCATATCCCACAATCCCTTACCCCGCAAGCCGCTCCCCCGCGCCAAGGGCAGTTTTGCGACGCACAGCAGCACCGATCGTGCGCAAGCCCACGGTCCAGCAAGTTGTCGCAGGAGCTCTCATTTACATCCGGCTCGTCTGCCATTGGGCTCACCGGCAGACCTCGTGCCTATAATATCAAGCCGACACCACTATGAGCGCTTCCCCCACGTCCAAAGACGGCCGACATGCGTCCCCGGCCCCCAAGTCCATAGCCCTTCCCGGGAGTCCACTGGCGAGTCCACTGGGGAGTCCGCTGCTGCATCCAAACGGCGTGAAGATTGCACAGGACGAAGTACGGCGGCCGTCAATCCAGTTTCTGGCACACCGGAATGCATCGCTACCCAGAGGTACTCCAAGGCCGCGTGAACGAAGAAGGCTGTCGTCACCGCCGCCTCCGCCGTAAGTACCGGCGCGCATGCACCTGCGTCTTTGGCCATATCAGCTGACCTGTTTACAGAGTCTTCCAGCCTCGTGTATCGTTCGACACCTTCGACAAACCCGCAGACTTCATTGAAGAGAGTTCATTCACATTAATCGCCAAGCACAAGGACTATGAATACACCAAGCGCTCACGGACCTTCTTGTGCGGTTTCGACGAGAACGAGTATTCCATATTCGCGCTGCAGTGGCTCATTAGCGAGCTAGTCGATGACGGCGACGAAATCGTGTGCCTGAGAGTAATGGAAAAGGAAGATGCAATAGCCAACGACCGCAGTGTAGAGACGGGGCGATATCGCGTGGAGGCCGAGAAGACCATGTCCGAGATACAGGCCAAAAATCACGACAACAAGGCCATCAACCTCATACTGGAGTTTTCAATAGGCAAGGTCAATAAGGTGATCGATGATATGGTATGTTTGAGTTGGTTATAGAGTGGCCACAATTAACAGCGGGTAGATAAATCTCTACGAGCCTGCAATTCTAGTTGTCGGAACGCGCGGCAAGAGTCTTGGGGGCTTCCAAGGTCTTCTTCCTGGTAGTGTCTCGAAGTACTGTCTACAGCATTCGCCCGTTCCAGTCATCGTTGTTCGCCCAACGTCTAAACGGGACAAAGCGAAGAGCAAACGCTCAAATGACCCTGACCGGCAGACGTACAGGGATATCATTGCAAAGAGTGAAGGTCTTCCAGATTATCACAGCCCGCGCAATAGCTATTTTGTAAACGAGGACGAAGCAGCGACAATTGCAGCGGCAGCACCTACACCGAAGCTTGTCGTAGATGCACATCCTTTGGCTCAGGTCGAACATGCGCAAGACAGTGACGATGATGCAGACACTGGAAATAACACGCTAATTAGGGATGGCCTGCGAAGTCCGGGCCCGATGATGAAGAGCCCGCACTTGCAAAATCTCGATAGCCCAGAGCTGAGTAGCCAGTCGAGCAGCGAGGACGAAGATGAGCAGGGCGCACCATCAACTAAATCTGGAACAACTGCTGTGGATGAAGATGTGGGTGCAACGGAAAAGTCGAGCGGCGGGGAGGCGGATGCAGAGGGCCGAAAGAGCTCCATGTCGTATGTGGATAGTCTTACGAGTGAGGCTCAGCCAAAGGCCGACGCGCCGAGGGAGTCAGGGGGCGCATAGTCTTGTATAATACCCATTTGATATCTCTGAGATTACAGCCTGACACTTGATGCACGGCAGTGTGTGGCAAGTTCCTTGAAGACCCCAGTATGATCGCCGTAATGACGTTTCGTGTGGCGGCGTTGCCGCAAGGTGCATGCGCGTTCCTGGCGCCGAGTCTGTCCCTCAGTTGCGTAACCTTGAGATCTTACACGATCACAGAACCGTGGATGTGTCAACGTATCCTTACCGTGCTGTCCCAGTCAATGGATGCACGCACGTCGGACATAACCAGGACGAACTGGCAGTAGCAAACACCATCCATAGCCTCCAAATCACCAAACCGCCCATCCGATGATTTCAACCCTCGAAGACGATTGCGACGAGTGCATGCCGGACTATGTCTTGCACCGTAGTCCCATGACAATCGCCATCTCAGCGCTCCCTTTCATCCTTACTTTTCTTGTCGTCGCCTTTGTCGTCTCGCATAAGTTGTTCCCGATCCTCTCAGGCCACACGCATCGCAAAGCGCATCATGATGGCGCCCGGTTGCCTGGACTGGCCCCACGGGAGAGAGCCCCAGTTTTGAAGCAGCTCCGACCAAATGCCCGAATCATTGCGAACATGATTTTCGCGACAAACTTCGCCCTTTCCGCCGTCTTGGCCGAGCTCATATTGTGCGAGATATCAAATACCGTGAATCGCGCCACGCGAACCCTCGCCCTAAAAATCACCCTTCCGTCGCTGCTGTTCCTTTTGGTTGTCGCAACCCCAGCTGTCATCTTGCATTCGGTGATATCAGGAACTGGACTGGACATCACCGGCGAACAAAAGGGCCGGCGCAGGGCAGCATGGGTTCTGGAGTTGTGTGGGCTTGCAGCATGGCTCGCTGGCTTCTGGTATATCGGTAGAGGGATGCTTGGCTCGTACCTGCATCTAGAAGAACAGGAGCATGACCATTCATTCAGTGAGGGCTGTCTGGAGAGGATAGGTATAATTGGCATCAGCTTGATGGCCTCACTAGCAGGATTCGCAGCCATTTCTGCCATGTGGCATACTTTTGGTGTCAAATACCGCCCAGTAAGTCGACTATCCTGTTGATCCCACTCCTTGATACTAATCATTGCAGGTTTCCGAATCAGACATTGCTCGAAAGCAGGCTGGTATACAGGCCACCAATGACATGCTATTGACGAAAGAGAGTCGACTTCGAGCTGTTGAGCGCAAGCTCGCCGACAACCCTCAGCCAGGTTTTATGGGCCGCGTAGTAGGATCGATTCGAGGCAACCCGGATATGCAAGAACGGAGCACCCTGCAGCTGGAAATCCAGGGTCTTGAAACCATGCGTCAGACTCTCCAGAACTCTTTGACAGTCCTGCGAGCCAGGCGCCAGTCTCAACTACGATCGTATACCGCTCATGGACGTGTATGCAACATAATTAACTATGGCTTCGCTGTATACTGCGCGTATCGCATTGCCGCCACCACCGTCTCTACCCTCCGCCGCTTCTCCTCGCCCAATGCAAGCTTTTCAAGCAGCGACCCGATTAACAATTTCCTTGCGTTACTAGCGAAGCACTGGGACCCGACCATCGATCGAGTGGCTTGGAGTCGCACAATTTCTTTCCTACTGTCTGGTGTCATGCTCCTTTTGTCTTTTAATAGTGTCCTACAGACTTTTTTCCTATTCGCGAGGGTCGTGCCTGGTCTCTTGCATCACACAAAGACCAATTTCGCACTCATAATTTCTCAGATTGCAGCGACATATGTCATCAGCTCTACCTTGCTCCTTAGGAGTAACCTACCACCCGAGATGAAGAACAAGATTGGGGATGCATTGGGTGCACCGCTAGAACCAGGCTTCACCGAGAGATGGTTTGAAGGTTGGTTTCTGGCCGCTAGTGCAGCGACAATCATAGGTCTCTGGCTTGGTAAACGGCTCAAGGGAGGGGAATGGGACGATGATGGAGATGCAGGGGATGCAGATATGGAAATGGGGAAGCGGACCACGTAGTCGTCGTCATTTCACTAGTATAGTATAGTCCACCAAATTTCCAACCTTTCCACCGACTATCGAGAAACCTGAAATGCCGTAATCTTTCACCATCGAGATTAGGAAAACAGGCTGAGCCCGATGTGTTGAACGATAACAACCACCGGGCAGCTGTGCATAGCCGTTCCCGCTAAAGCATGCAACACCCGCCGCTTGCTAAGCTACCCACATGAAGCGCGCCTGGCCTCTAAGCACGCGCCATGCGCAGCGTTTGATGAGGTTGACGTCGATGTTGCCCGATTGAGTGTGTTTCGCGCCGTGACGTCAGATGTAGTGGGGCAGCTTTGGCCGATGAAAAGAGTCGAGGGGCTGCAGTCTTGCTTGCGAGTTTAAACAATACACCTACATCGAACAAATTCTCGAGGTATGTGCAGACGTGGAAGCAAAATGATTTGGGTAGTCATGGCTAATTAATACATAGATCTCTACAAACCTCAACGTACGCATCCTATCCATCTCTATCACCACGCATCGCCATCGCCATCGCCATCGCCAACTTTCTCCCTCACAAACACCAGACTAACAACACACCCGCAGTCTCCCAACCCCCTCAACCAAACCAAACCAAACAACCCCCAAACACAACAACAAACCCAAAATGTCTGCCCCCAACGCCGGTCGTCAGTCCCCCGACCCAGAGCGCCAGTCCGGTGCGCAAGCAGGCCAGATCGCCGACAACGTCAACGCACAAGGTGCCGGTCCCAAGGAAGGCGCTGAGAAGGCCAGCGACAACACAAAGGAGAGCCTGAGCTCTAACCCTGAACACCCGCTGAAGGAGCACAGCGAGGAGACTACTTCGAAGAAGGTTTAGAGGGATGGGGTGTGTTGAGAAGGATGATGCGTGGTGGATGCATGGATGGATTGTAAGACCTGGTAGTATGGAATGAGGTACCTGGGCAGTCTGAAGGATGAGATAAATTAAATCATGGTCTCCAAACTTTGTTGTGTTGGTGCGGGTTGTGTTGTGCTGTCTGCTTACCTGCCTGCTTGTCTGCTCTCGCAAAGAAGTCGTGATACTAACTTCTCTTGCTACTCGCGCTCATTCCTCACAAAGCAATCTCATATCCACAAGATCCAATCTTTGCGCAAAAGTTATCAAAGCGATGATGTAACAAGTGTTGTAGTCTCGGCAGTCTTACCCTCCTAGCCGTTCTGCGCGCTTACGCAACCATGCTTCCCACGATCTGTAGTCCGCTACAGCTACCGTGGAAAAGATACCCCTCACCCCACCCCACTACCTTCACCCCTCCCTCCCAACCACACCACCCCCATTCTCTCCTCTCACCCGCCTAACCCTCCAAGACTCCTGTCCCTATCCCTCCCATCTTCATCCTTTTTGTCTAACAATATAATTTCAATAACCACAAAGTCCCCCATCATCAACACGGGCGCTTGGGTGAGTCACAATCACATCTTTGTCTATGAAAGAATAAAGGTCTAACAGAAATTCAGTCTAGGGGTATGATTTTCGCTTCGCATACTTTAAATGTGCGTACTTGTGAAAGGTCGTGGGTTCAATTCCCACAGCGTCCATATTTTTTGGCTTTTTTTTTTGCAATCAGGGTTGGAGGGGGGATGGAGGAGGTGATGAGCTGGGGATGAGAGGTAGGTAGGTAGGAAGGATTTTTTTGTGAAGGGATGGCGAGGGTAGAGGTTCGATAATGTTCGAATGCTTTATTTAAGTAGAGTGTGATGTATGTATGTTTTATTACTATGTTAAATGCATATCTGTGTTGCACACAAGCAATGGTAGCAAGCCGCTTGTACATTTAACTTGTAGCTGTCACCTATCTCTATAACTCCTTCTTCTTCCTCATCTAGACTGGCCTGGAAATTGGTTCTATCGGACCAACCCTGGCAAAATTTAACCCACTTTGCGATATACTCCATGGACTCTTCGGGTAGATCCTTTTGCATGGGTAGAAAGGCCCGATAATTTGTAGCGGCCTATTGAGCTGTGTCCACCAGCAACTGTTCCCCGATATGCAACATTTCACCCAACTGCTTCTGTGTATCCCAGAATATTTGGATCGTGGAGACTACCCAGCTCTTGACGTAAAAGCCTCGGAGATACTCCTATACCGCCTTTCTGACACGAGAACACTGACGAAGTAATCATGGCTGACATTGTTCGCCTTCGCCACATGGTCCCTGGGATAGGAAGTTGTGTCCTGCCAGTTTGCACAGTCCTTGCGACCTCGAATGACCACCTCGAGGGTCTGAATTACTAAAAGAAGAAAGGAAGCGCTCTTTTCGTTCACTATAGCTTTGGCTAGCGGTGAACTCCTTGATAGTCACTTGGTATGTCGAAGAAGCAATCTACACTAAACTGGACTTCTTTGCCGTCTTCCTGGCTCTGCTCTTGAGTCCGCCCCAACCTTTTGTTACGATGTCCTAATCACTGCCATCAAATAGCCGGTCGATAGTTCCCATGGCTCGGAATATCTCTGCAAGCCACTGGACAAAGCTCGCAATGCCTTTCTTGTACTGCGGTACGTGTCATTGAATGTGCAAGTCCCATCTTGGTTCGATAATGACAAAAGCGTGTATCGATGTTCTTGCGATAAACGCAATATACTGCAAGACTCAAACAAAGTATGGAGAACTTGCATGTGGCAGAATGGTGTGCGCGGTCAAAGTGAGACGACCACAATCGCGGAATCACGTGCAAAGGTAAGTGGGCAAGACCCTTTGAGTGAAAGATTGTATGGAGATCAAACATTGTCAATTTGCGTTTGAATGCTCCGGTGCGAACAAGCTCCGTGCCCTTGTCTCATCTTGGTTTCGCCACTGCGATGCCAGAGTAAAGATACGCCAGGGGTAAGAAGTGGCCAAGTTGAAAACCAGCAAAATGTCATGGTAAGATGGAATAAGAAAGAGGATATGACTAACAATGAGAGTTTTCGCCATCTTTTACAAAACTTCCACGCGGAAAGAGGTTGACCACAGCAGGTAGAGGGTTCAGTTTTATCAGGATATAAGAATCCAGATACTTCGTAGAACTGAATCCTGATATACCAGCCCACCTAGACTTCCCAATTGGTGCCTGCCCAATTGAAAAAGCCATGTTTGCGAAGCTCTTGAAGAAGTCTCAGGCCTGTCTCATGGCCAATCAAGTATGTATTGCGGGCTTCTCCACTCACCCGTGAGACGAGGGCATGGTGGGTTCAGGCAAAGTTTGATTTGCAAAGGAAACGGCACGATCAACCTGCCAGGCAATTACACGACCATCGAAGCATGCAAGACATGATGTCTGAGGGGGGCGATCAATTGAACGATGATAGTTTAGGATGACGACCAATGTAGTATTCCCGTAGAAGCCGGACAAAGCTTCGTAGATTGGGATCGAACAAGAACACAGAGCAAGGGTCTGAAACGCTTGCAGGTAGGATTACTGGACCGTAGTGGCTTGGCGAACAAGAATGATTGTACGCCAACATATATAAGTTGGAAGAGTTTCAGACTGTGTTTGCCTGTGGTAAATCAGGTCATGGCGCGTCATCGCGTAACACAATACTAGCGATCTCAGGCAGGGATACACGAGGCTTACCGCTTACAGCTTACCCCACTTCGCGTGTTGGCAACATTACCGCGCGCCACTTTATCATATATGTGCTGCCTGCTGCCTGCTACCTACTGTCTGCAGCTTTGTTAACTTGCAAACTTGCAAACATTGCAGAAGTACTTATACCGCATTACGTTGGTCTTTTTCCTACATACTCATTTATCCGTTTTAGCGTCGTTCGTAGACTAGGTGCTACGCGTCGCATCGTGCCCTGTCCGAAAGCCTCACTAAGCCATTCATCAAACATGTCAAACGCACCGCGAGGTGGCGGCGACAGAGGCCGCGGTAACTTCCGTGGTGATCGTGGGGGAGGTCGTGGGGGAGGAAGAGGTGATTCCGGAGGTCGTGGAGGAGGAAGAGGTGATTCCGGAGGTCGTGGAGGAGGAAGAGGCGATTTTGGGGGTCGTGGAGGAGGAAGAGGCGATTTCGGAGGTCGCGGAGGAGGTGACAGAGGAGGAGGCAGAGGAGGTGGCGGAGGGTTTGGCGGAGGGGGTCGTGGTGGTCCAGTCCCTAATGAGGTTTTTGCGTAAAACGAACCTGGTCCAGTATGTTGTTAATGGCTCGCTAATGGTATATCTAGGAACCCAGGAGTCATTAATCCCAAGGTCGCAAAGGTTGAAGATGCCATGCATCCGATCGCGAAAAAGACTCTCGATCTTGGCAGCTTGAAGTTGTCCGAAGGGAATCCAACCCGTCCAGGGTATGGCACCAAGGGCATCAAGGTTGAGCTTACGGCCAACTATGTCGAGTTGCTGCCCCCTTCAAATATGGTGCTATACAGATACGATATCGATGTGTCTCCAGAGGCGACTGGCAGGAAGCGCCATCGTCTTGTTGAGCTTCTTCTCCAAACACCGGAGATGACGCCATACAAAGGGAGCGTGGCTACTGATTTTCGGTCTACAATGGTCTCCAAGACGAAACTGAAGCATGACGAAGATGTCATCGAGGTTCAATACCGGTCTGAAGGCGAAGACGATCCCGCGGCGAACGCAGCTGTCTACAAAATCCGTGTCAAATACACAAACACCTTGAGTGTTGGCGATCTCGTCGATTGGATGAACTCCACAAACACTGCCGAGTTTGGAGATAAACAGGACATTACACAGGCGCTTAACATCTTCATTAATCACTACGCCAAATCAGCCAAAACACTGGCAACGATTGGCTCGTCCAAGAGCTTCTCCCTTGGTCAGAACGCCACCAAAGGAGACCTCGGTTCTGGCTTAGAAGTCATCCGCGGCTTCTTCTCAAGCGTGCGTGTCGCAACTTGCCGTATCCTCGTCAATATCAACGTCAGCCATGGTGCATTCTACAATGCGGGTTCTTTGCCAGCACTAATGAACAGTTACGGAACCCGCAACACCATCGCCTTGGAAAAGTTCCTCAAGCTTGTTCGTGTTCAAACCTCGCATCTGGCGGAGAAGAAGAACAAGGCTGGTCAGGTCATCCCTAGGGTAAAGACGATATTCGGACTTGCAAGAAAGGATGATGGCCACAAGCTCGCCAACCGACCACGTATCACCAAGCATGGTGCAGGTGCCAAGGAGGTAGAGTTCTGGCTTGATGGTGAAGCTAGTGCCCCAGCACCCAAGCCAGGAGCGGAAGGCGCCAAAGGAAAGGGAAAGAAAGTCCCAACCAAAGGGCCTGCAACGTCTGGGAGGTACATCAGCGTGTTTGACTTCTTCAAGCAGAGTATGTTAGTGAGACACGGTATCATGATCTTCCACTGACCGCGATTTAGCCTACAACAGGGTCCTGAAGAATCCAGAACTACCGGTGATCAATTGCGGTAACCGCGAGAACCCCATGTATCTGCCAGCAGAAGTCTGCAACGTTGTCCCAGGTCAGCCGTCCAAGGCAAAGCTCGACGGCTCTCAGACCCAGCAAATGATTCGTTACGCTGTTCGTAAACCATGGGAGAATGCCAGGTCGATTCAAAATGAAGGGATAGCGACTGTCGGATTGGATGCGAACACGAACCTACTTCTTGTACGTATAGCTTGTCATGTCTCATCCGCTCAACTAACTCCGCATAGCGCTCATTCGGTCTCCAAGTCGGCCCAGGACTTATCAAGGTCCCTGGTCGCATCCTGAACGGCCCCAAGGTCATCTATAAAGGCAACAAGACGGCCGATCCACGCTTCGGAAGCTGGAATATGATAAACATCAAGTTCAACACTGGCTCAACACTTGCAAAGTGGTCCTACGTGATGATCTCACTTCCATACGCGCGTGACTCATTCGACTCGAATGGTTTGATGCGTGTCATGCAAGAATTTCACCAGGGCTTGATCAAGATTGGCCTGACTGCCAATGCGCCATTACCAGGTCAGCGCCTCCAGCTGCAGAATCCAGACGATTCAAATCTCGGCCCATTCTTGAAACGCGCTGCTGATGGATTGGACCTCTTGTTCATCGTTTTGCCCGAAGCCAACATACCGCTGTACAAGCGTATCAAGTCGATCGCCGACAAAGAATATGGTCTGCACACCATCTGCTCTGTTGGCTCCAAGCTCGCCAAGGATCGCGGGCGGGATCAATACATCGCAAACGTGGCCTTGAAGATCAACCTGAAGCTGGGCGGGATCAACCAGATTGTTGAGAACAAGAACCTAGGCATAATTGACCAGAACAAGACAATGGTTGTGGGTATCGACGTCACCCATCCCTCGCCTGGCTCTGCGTCCAATGCGCCTTCTGTCTCGGCCATGGTGGCTTCCGTTGATAGGTTCCTAGGTCAGTGGCCCGCGACGTTGCGCATCCAACGCGGGCGACAAGAGAACGTGGACGCTCTCGGCGAGATGTTCAAATCACGTCTCAGCCTGTGGAAGACCAAGGGCAAACACACTACCCTTCCCGAGAACATCCTCATGTACCGTGATGGTGTCTCGGAGGGACAGTACGACATGGTCCTTGCGCAAGAACTTCCCCAAATACGCAAGGCATGCGAGGAAACGTACCCGGCGACCGACACCAAGAAGGGTCTTCCACGCATCACAATTGTCATCTGTGGTAAACGACACAAGACTCGTTTCTACCCGACCAAAGACCAAGATTGCGACAGGTCCGGTAACACCAAGCCCGGCACTGTTGTTGATCGCGGTGTAACAGATGCGCGAAACTGGGATTTCTTCCTCCAAGCTCATGCCGCGCTCCAGGGAACTGCCCGCCCTTGCCACTACTACATCGTTCACGATGAAATCTTCCGTCAGATCTACGCGAAACAAATCCCACCACCTTTTGGCAACATTGCGGATATCGTGGAGGATCTTACGCATAACATGTGTTACTTGTTTGGTCGTGCGACAAAGGCCGTAAGTTTGTGCCCACCGGCGTACTATGCCGATTTGGCGTGTGAGCGTGCTCGCTGCTATTTGGCCAGCCTGTACGATACGCCTACGCCTAGTGCAGCGCAATCTCTTGCTGGTACTTCAGTTGCTGGAGGCGCTGGGGCTGCGCCTGATGCGTCTGATGTGCAGATTCACCCGAAGCTCAGAGATACCATGTTCTACATTTAGTGTGTATGTAAGATCATGGAGAAGGGAAGTTGAGAAAGACTTGGAGACGTCGCATCGCAGATAGGGAAGTTGATTAGATGAAGAAATGAAACATTCGTTGCTACCAAGAAGCTGCATAACAGCCAAATACATTCATTTACACTGAAATCTTTCCCTTCCACTAGACCTCTCTCATAAGCAATCTATTCTCTCAATATCTAGTAGTCTTGAACACATAGAAAGTAACTCTTTAGGAACATATTGAGACAGTCAACCAGAAAATAAATTGGGGAATAAAGATACACAAGTGTACACACACCAGATCGCACCGCGTACTCCTTCACTGCGACGCACTTGAAAAAGAATCCCCTGGCTTCTCCACGCTCTACCGAATCAACAACTACAACCCCTACTCCTGAATCCAACACGCCAAATCTGTCCACTGCTTCTTCGCCCTACGCGCAACCGGCAGCGGAAACACCGCCAACTGCGTCTGCTGCCTCACCCTAACAAACCTCACACAAACCCTCTTGTTCTTGATACACTCATCACACGCGCCCTCCTGATCCTGACCACTCATGCGTCTCGGACTTGGCTTGTCGCTACGCAGAACAACGTAGTTATTAACGCAAGTCTCGGTGGTCATGATCGCATCCTGGTTCGCTAGCATCTCTTTATAGCGCTCCCTGTGTTCGTCGGTGGACAGGTAGTCCGAGGTGAAAGATGCGCAGATGGCGGCGTGGAAGAAGGTGGGGAGTTCGGTGGGGGGAGCGGGGCGGCCGGTGATGTTTTGGACGGTTCTGTAGTCGACGCTTTCTTTGGGGAACCAGATTATCATGGGTATTGCGGCGAGGAGTTCGAGGGCTGCGGGGGCGATGGTGAGGGAGTGGGTGGATTGGATTTCTTGTAAGATGGTGTCTGTGTAGAGAAGTTCGACTAGCTCTGCGGCTATGGTCTGGTTGACTTCGTTGCAGTTTATGGGGACGAGTATGTGGGGTAGTTTGAACTGTGGTGGTTTGCGGACTAAGGGTTAGGTTTTGTATAATCTCTTGTATGGCGGTGATGTGGGTGTGGGTGCTGGGCGCTTTGGAGGTCGGGGTACTCTTGGATGAGCTCCGGAAAGTGGTGCTGGGCTGTTCTTTGCTCTTTGGCGGACAGATTCCAGGTCCAAGGATACACTGGAGCAGCGTACACCATCTCGTTTACGGGGGCGTAGCACCTCTGGATCAAGCATATGCGGCTGGAAAGATTGTGGCCCATCCGTGGGCGGCGGACCGTATGGAGAATGGTATACAAAGTCCGATCGTGAGTTCAATGTTGGATCCAGCTGTGGGTCCAATTGTAGATTTGGCTGTGATTCCAACTGCGGATCCAAATGTAGATCTGACTGTGAGTGCAAGTGTAGATCTGGCTGTGTGTCAAACTGCGAATCCAACTGTGGATCTAACCGAAAGTCCGATTGTGAGTTCAATTGTGAGTCTAGCTGTGGATCTGGTTGCGAATTTAACTGTAAATCTTGCTGTAAGTCTACCTGCGGATCAGGTTGGAAGTTCAACTGCTGATTCAGCTGTGAGTCCGACTGTTCATCTGGTTGCAGATTTGACTGCGTATCGAACTGTGAGTCTACCCGTGTATCAGGTTGTGAGTCTGCCTGGGGTTCAGGCCGTGAATTTGGCTGTGAATCTACTTGAGTATCGGGGTGCGACTCCAGTTGCAGATCCAGCTGTGAATCTAATTGCGTCTTGACGGGTTCTTCCGACTGCGTCTTTATGGGCGAGTCAGGCTCCGTTTTTATCACAAATGGGACTCGCGCCTTTTTTACATCAGGGTTCTGTATCTCTTGGACATCTGGGTCTTGTGTCTCTTTTACATCTGGGTCCTCTGTCTTTTTTACGGTGGCCCGCGTCTTTCTTACGTCTGTAGTCCTTATCTTCTTTGCTTCTGTGACCCGCGTCTTCTTACCATCTCGGGCCTGCGTCTTTTTTACCGCTGCACCCCTCACTTTTGTTATACCTTTAAAAAATGACGCGTTAGAAAGATACATGCACGGTGAGAACAGTTGTAGCATCCCACGTACGTCGCTCCGGCGGCGCCAAGACAATGATATTATCTTTATCATCGCCCGGCTCCTTTTTAACCTTGACACTCCCATCTTTGGTCGCATCATCATCGTAGTTGGACTGCGGGTCCCGCACAATTACATCCAAGATAGTTATGGCAATGTCTTTCAATGCGCCTCGTGCAAACTCGCGACCCACACCATGTTGCACGACTCGTTGCAGGTCGGCGTCGCTGAGGCTCTGGAGTAGGCTTCTGCGCGAACTTTCTAGCGTCTTGTCTTCGGAGAGCGCGAGAAGCGCTTTGAGATAGGAATTCACGGGTGCGGTCATAGGAGGGGTTTGTTGGCGTGTGTGAAAGCGCCAATTGAGGGGGAAGGGTGTTTGTGATGGTTTGATGGGGCTGAAACACGATTTCGCGTTGGATCATCCCATCGGGGTTCGGCGCGGCAAAATTGTATCGCCGGGCGGTTACTCCGAACGATATTGCAGACATAAACTGGGTAGATGTAACTTCACCACATATAAGAAGATGAGAAATTGTCAAAGTTGAGTTGGAAATTGATGTATTTCATATGGCATTATTCTCCATCTCGTCACTGGCAACTACCACATGGGCAGTTCCACATATTACGTCACCCTCCCGGCGTCGTTTAACTTACCATATGAGGTTCGGTTTGACTTGCCATCCGATAAGTATCCGGTTTGACTTACCATCCGAGATTCGGCTGCGCGATGAAGTCATACACGAATACCTGCTCAAGCAACGGATCCGTCTCATTCTATCGTACTTTATTAGCGATGCGAATGACGGCGATGCGTAGAAAACTTACCTTGAGTCTATCATGTCCAGGATCAAGATCGAATTGTTGTCGTGACGCCTCATCCTGATCACTAACGTCAGATCATTCGGTCCAACAGCACAATCATCGCACATACCTTGAACATCACAGTGAACCCCATATCCCAGATGCTCTCCCTCTTCACGTTCGTCAGGTTTAGTGGGGTATCTAACGGACGCCCGCCCTTTGGTGGTTCGGCGAGTAACTCCGGATGCTCGGCGTAAAGGGCCATGAAGGCGGCTGCGCGGTCGCCCTTTTGCTCGGCGGTAACATCGGGTTTGAAGCGGAATGTCGCTATACGCGTTACTTGAGGCGATGAACAAGCTTCCATGTCGCCTTTCTGTTTGCTGTCTATATCGAGTGTGGCGTGTGTGAATGCAGCACCAATTGCAAGGAGAGACGTGATACGGAAAAGCATTGTCTAGAGGAACAGAGGCGTCCCTTAATTGAAGATCCGCGGCAAGTTATACCTCCTCGCAGCGGTGTGCTAATGGCGACAGCGTCGCTGGCATGCCAAGGTGGCTTTACAGACGGCGTACATGAGGTTGTTACACGCGAGCGGAGAGCCGAGATCAACGTCACTTTCTACTTTACGACCGAGTACGATAACAGTGACAGACATTCATTCTCATTATATCTAAACTCCGACATCAAATGGGCAAATTGAAGCCCTCATATTCCTCCAAACTTCCAAACTTTCTAATACTCAATTCTATTGCAGGCATGTAAGAGCCTTGAAACTCCGCCTACCCTGATCATGAACCGGGAACTGTGGCGCGCGCTCACAGCGAGACGACAACGTCTCTACAAGTCACCTTTGGACTTCTTGTTGGCGGGCTTAGGCTCGGAGGTGTCGTCGTCACGAGAGCGCTTGCCCAAGGTGACATCCTCAGGAACCATTGGCTCAGACTGGGCGAGGGGCGAAGACCGACGAGTGTGGGCAGCGGAGACGGGGGTCTTCTTCGTCCGAGTGGCAGCATCGGCAGGGCGAGAACCGTTCGCAGGCTGGGAGGACTGAGCAGAGTCGACCGTGTAGACAGTGTCCTGGGTTGAGGGCAACGACTCATGAGACTGCGAGAAGATGACATCGTCCTGGGTTGACGTCTCCTGAGTAGAGGTAGCCTGAGTGCCGTCTAGGGCGTGACCGGTGATCTCGGTGGTTGGGATAGACAGGACGGAGGTCTCAGTGTCTCCAGAGACATGAGACTCGGCGTCAGAGTTGTCCGCCTCGACGGTTGGAGACGTGTTCGCCTCTGAAGCTGGAACTGGAGCAAGGTGACCAATATCCTGCTTGAGAATGTCAGTCTCTGCCATCTTGATAGCGCAGATATTAGTGGCACACACCTCAGCGGCCTTCTCCCCAGCATCCTTCATGGACATCGAAGAGTTTGGGTACACGGTGAGATCAACATCTGGCAGCATCACGGCGAAGGTAGGATCCTCATGAGACCAGTAGAATGACGTGTTGCAGTCACGCGGAGCGCCATACTTTGGCAATCCAGGATACTCATAGGTCTTCTTCGCTGTGGTTGGCACAGTGCTAAATGAGGTGGAACTCATCGTGTTCTGGATATCAACCACCGGAGGTGGCTGAGCATGGGCAGGGGGTGCGTTGAAAGTAATCGTGACTGCCTGATAGCTGGCCATGATGACTTCGTACACTTCAACTGCAGTGTTACGATTGATGTGGATGCCGTTCGTTACGAGGAGGTTCAGCACTTCCCTAAACGTCTCTTGAGGTGACTGCGTGGCAAGGTGGAAGTCTGGAAATATTAGTATGATGTCGACCAGTAGAAAGCCTTGATAATGCGACTTACGACCAGGTGGAATTCGAAATTGATCCATTGTATAGTACCAAGGGGTCGAATATATACCTGCTTCCAGTAAGTATTCGGAGAATGAACAGTTGCCAACGTCTGACTTACCAGTGAGAAGGGATGTGGGTTGAATTGTCCAGTTCGAGTGTTGCGCTGCTGGAATCGGCAGTGGAAGAAAAAGCGGTGGGGTGGGCTGCTTATATACACATGAGCGAGAGCTAAGAGCTAAGCACGGGCCAATTGGTTCGAGTGAAAGAGTGAAAGTAAAGTGGCAGAGGTGGACGAGCTACCATAAATCACGCGAGTCACTGACATGGTGGCGGTCAACAATACCTAGACGCGAACCAATAAACCTGGCTAATATAGACCGTGTTTGATTGTAGCAGCGGGATGGGGGCAAAATCACTTATTCTCACGACATGCGTTGCGTAGGAGGGTAGCAACCTATTGGGTGGAAAGAGCCGCACCACGACGATTGCGGTCAAGCGCTGGGCCAATCACTCTCCAAGTGCTGTAGGAACAGCAGGACATGGCCATGCCCAGGTGACCCGACCCGACCCCGCCAAACTGACATCGGGAATTCCCTGAAAGCTGCAGCCTTACCCGCCTCCACAAAGCTTGGTTACGCCCCACACAATGAGGTCAACGGGAACCAGCCTTAACTACAGTTGCTGACCCACCCTGCATCGTGAACTGCGGTTCAGCCACACAAATCATCAAGTAAATTAGCGAGGCAGCAAACGCCCAACCTTGGGTGATTTACTGCCCACCGCGCCTATTAACGCAGTTAAAGTCCTGCACGAACCCGCACTTGAAGACCTGCGTTGCATATGTCACTGGCGTGAATGATCAACGAACTGTACTGACCTTGTCACGTGAAGGGCACTCATGACAAGTCACTCGTAGTGAGACTATGTAAAATTACCTTCTACGGCATTTTCTCCCGCGCGCTCTCTACCTACCTGGACTCAACAACGCCTGCAAACGCACCAACGAACAACGTCAACGTCAATGAACACCCACGGAAACGAATACACCTCTGCCGCCGCTTGCTTCTGACCTTCTCTTGGATCATTGTATCCTCCAAGCTAAGCTAATATCCTTAGAATCACCGCATCGCGGGACCAGTGACACCAGATACAATGGTGGATAAGATGACGCGCCGGAACACAGAAAGAGGCCGTCCACAAAGGCGGACATCAGAGCGACCACTCGCGCCAGAGCTGCCATCTCCATACAGCAACGACAATGCCACCCCCAATTTCTTCGATGGCAACACGGCACCACGCCAAGAACCCCGTTCCCGACTCGAACTTCTCGAGGAGGCATTGCAAGATCGGGTACAGCCCCAAGACAGTATCGGCGAGCTGGAGGAAGTGGCGGACGAAATATTCGAAGACGCAGATGACTGCTCCATCTCATCCTCACGGCCAGCTTCCCCCACAGAGCAAGACTGGGAAGAAGTAGAAAGTGACATACCCTCTTCACAAGTGAGTATCCAACTACATTACCATATCTTCTTCCTGACCACCCTAACTCTCAGCACCACGGGGAATCCTACCTCTTCCCTGGAACCTGGCCAGCCGCACTATCAGAAACAACACAAGCCTTGCGAGAAATCAACGCGGCAACATCTTCCTACTTCACCGCGCTCTCCCAATCTGGTATCGGCCGCGCCACATCAAGTATCAGCACCGCAGCCCTCTTCAGCACCAACAGCGCCGCCCTTGCACTGACAACCTGGGGTCTGGCCAAAACTGGATTCGGCACTCATGAACTGCCGCGTCCACTGCAGAAATGGGTCATGGCCAAGGAGGAGAGGGAGAAGCGGCGAGTGCAGAAGGAGGCGAGGAAGCGGAGGATAGAGATGGGTAGTGGGGTGTTTGAGGATGGCGGGGGGAGCTTTGTGTTGGGTACGAGGGAGGGGGGTGCGGATCTGTGGGAGGTGCAGGGGTTAAGGGAGAGTGAGGAGGTGGTTGATGAGAGTGAGGGCGAGGATGCGGCGATTACGGCGTTGAGGAAGTTGGATTGTGATGAGGAGGATGAGGAGGGTGGTATGTTGATGGGTTTGAATTTTGAGGACGAGGAAGATGAGGATTAAGATGGAGGTGAAGTGAGCCTGATATACTACAAGGGCTCATGACTTCTTCCTGTATAATTATAAACACACCTGAGGACCTCCATTCTCGTATAGGTCACAATAATATTTTAAACACAACGCAATAACTGCAAAAACTCTTTATCGCATTGGGGGTACTCGCATCATTGCAATGTAAACTTACATCATCACTATCTTACCGTATCCAAACTCTTTATCCAAGATTCCAAACCAACAAAACTTACAACCTCTCCTTCTGCAGACCCTTCCATCCCCACTCCTGCGCAATCATCTCCGCCGCACGCTCGCCAATACCAAGGACAGTCAACATGGGATTGATCGTCGGCATCTCAGGGAAAACACCCGCATCCGCAATCCTGACGCCCTTGAGGCCACGGACCTTGAGCTCAGGGTCCACAACAGCCTTGTCGTCCTTGCTTACATCACCCATCTTGGTGGTGCCTGCAGGGTGGTACACGGTATGCGCCACACGGCGGCCGTATTCTGACAGTTCCTCGTCGGTGGTGATTTTAGGTCCGGGAGCGACTTCGCGCTTGATCCAGTTGGAGAAGGGGGCCTGCTTTGCGATCTCACGTGCTGCCTTGAGACCGGCGACGATGGTGGCAGCGTCGTAGCCTTCAGGGTCGGTGAAGTAGCGGAAGTCTAGCGCGGGCTTGACGGTAGGGTCTGCGCTAGTGAGGTAGATGCGGCCGCGGGAACGGGGGCGGGGAATGTTGGGAGTCATGCAGAAGGCGTCAATGGGGGAATCGTATCCTAGCCTATTTTGGTTGTTAGCCACTTATACAAGTCGCGGGATAGCTGTGATTATGGCTTACCTTGCGGTGTTTAGGCAGAAGGGAATTTGGTAGCAGTGCATCATGATATCCGCAATGTCGCCATCGTCGCCTGCCGCATTGGGAATCTCGCGGCGTAGGAAGATACCTGCGTCAGAGTCCATGGTGGTCTGATTGGCGGGTACGGGCTTGTTCAGCTCCCACAGGATGATACTTTCGGGGTGGTCTAGCAAGTTCTCGCCTACCCCGGGGATATCCTTTACGACGGGGATGCCGAGGTCGGAGAGTTGTTGCTTGGGGCCAAGACCGGAAAGCAGCATCAACCTTGGTGTATCCACGGCACCTGCACACAGGATTGTTTCACAGCTGGGGCTAAGCGTGCGCTTCTCGCCGCTCTGGAGTGTAATGTCAACGCCAGTGACCTTGTCACCCGAGACATTGACCTTGCTGACCCACGCGTTGGTGAGCACAGTCAGGTTGTCGCGCTTCTCCTCGCCCCGGAGAATAGGGTGGATGTACGCTACACTAGCACTGCTTCGTCGACCGTCATCAGGGTTGTATGATACTGAGAAGAAGCCAACAGAAGGCTTGAGGGCACCCTTGGTCTTGATTTCGTGGTTGAAATCGTGGATGACGGGAATGTCCATGGCAGTCGAGCACGAGTCGATCCAGTCTAGACAGAGCTGATTTCGGTGCTTCTCGTGTACAGGCTGGACGGTGTTGCGAAGGTTGTCAAGCACACGCATAAACGTCTTGAAGCTCCAACCCTTGCACCCCTGTGCTTCCCATCTCTTGCAGTCGTACTCAAATGGCCTGAATGAGATCAGTGTGTTGTGTGATGAGCAGCCACCGAGCACCTTGGCACGCGAGTGTCGAATGTGAGAGTTGCCATTGGGCTGTTCGGTTGTGCCGTAGTCGTAGTCGAGCTCTCCTCCTAGGAGGTTGAGCCAGTCCTTGAGGAGCAGCACACGGTCATCCATAAAGTCGCTTGGGCCAGCTTCAATCAAGAGGACTTTCTTGTTAGGCAGATACTCGGTAAGACGCGAGGCAATGACACAGCCAGCTGTGCCTCCGCCCACGATGACAAAGTCATAAGTGGCATCCTTGGGGATCGAGGTCACTGTTTCGAAAGCCATTGTCGCGTGTGGATTGAGATGGGGGATGAAGATGCAGAAAGCTAGTAGCTTTTCACCTGTAGTTCTTACGTAGAGGCAAGCTTATATGTAAACTTTAGCGTCCGGGACATCGGTCGGAAACTCGTTGTTCTCTCAACGGACCGGGCGTCGCTATCGGGCAATCGGCAAAAGTTTGGATAGCGAATAGTGTGCTGTATGAGGCTGGGAGGCTGGTATGTCGTATGCCAGCTGCAAGATTTGTCGTTTGCCTTCCAGATAAGACCGTGCTAAAAGGGCCGTTTAGTGGTTGGACCGTAAGCTTGCACGTGCTCAAGCCACCTGCACAGTGCCGCAATGGTGTTGCAACAGCTGTGAAGTTGAGAATACGCGAATTAAACGGATGGAGGATTATAACGAATCATGTGGAATGATGTTGTCTATGGTGGTGTTCTGAAAAGCCCCAATAGGCGCGACTGACGCGTCCATGTCGTTCAACGACTCTCGGAAGAAAAAAGCTTGGATGGCGTCCTATAACCATCCGATGATGTGATGACTGGTTACGGACTAGCTTACCCCGCTGAGGCTGCAGGTGCCGAGCACAGCATCCCTGCAAGACGGTGCCGCACTTGCCCTGATGGCAGAGCGGTGAGCGCGGTAACAATCGGACGAAGTTTTCTGCCATGCGCGTCAGCTCAGCGCCATCCCGATGCGACGTCTCTGCCAAACTTATATGTGATACACATTTGCACTCTCCGCATCTACGTATCAGCTGATAACTCCTGCGTTGCAGAAATATTGATAGCTAATCTCTGAAAGGAAGACGAGGCGCAAGCACTGCGTCCGAGCTTCCCCGTCGCTTCACTCCGTACAAAAGTTAGTACTTCGGCGCAAAGACGTCACATCACCAGTGGCCTTGGCTAACAGTGGCAGCGCAATCAAGTCTTTTGTTTTGAAACCTTGCTGGCCCCAACTTCACATTGTGACTGCGATTCATCCATTGCGCCAAATTCATGACCATGTCTCCTCCATATGCGCCCCGTTCTGCCTACTATGACGGCAAGATCCAATCGGGATCTTCTGCATCCTCGTTTCAGACAATTAATCCCGCAACGGCAGAGCCAGTCGCAAACATCCATACGACCACGCCCGCTGGCATAGACGCGGCCATAGCATCTGCACACAAAGCCTTTCCAGCTTGGTCAGCAACACCACCAATCGAACGCGCCCGTATCCTGCAACGAGCAGCAGCCATACTCCGCGCCCGAAACGATGAACTGGCGCGAATCGAGACGAGCGATACCGGAAAGCCTTTCTCCGAGACTTCCACAGTCGATATAGTAACTGGCGCTGATGTCCTCGAATACTTTGCAAACCTGGTGGGAGGAGGTGGCATGAACGGCGAGACGGCACAGTTACGACCAGATGCGTGGGTATACACAACCAAGAACGCGCTGGGTGTTTGCGCAGGCATTGGAGCGTGGAACTACCCTATCCAGATCGCTCTCTGGAAGTCAGCGCCGTGTCTGGCTGCAGGCAATTGCATGGTCTACAAGCCGTCAGAGTTCACACCACTTCACTCTACCGTTCTAGCAGACATTTACGCGGAAGCTGGCGTACCGGCTGGTGTTTTCAACGTAGTCCAGGGCGGCGGCGACGTCGGCGCATACCTCACCAAGCATTCTGGTATCGCCAAGGTCAGCTTTACTGGACAAGTATCAACCGGTAAGAAGGTGGCCGGCAGCGCCTCGGGGGAGATGAAGTACGTCACAATGGAGCTGGGCGGCAAGTCCGCGTGTGTGATCCTACCAGACGCCGACGTAGACCAAGCAGTCGACGGCGCCATGTTGGCCAACTTCTTCTCCACCGGCCAAGTCTGCACCAACGGCACACGAGTCTTCATCCCTGAAGCCATGAAGCCCGAGTTTGAAAAGCGATTACTAGAAAAGATCCAATACGTCCGCCCCGGCGATCTCTACGACATGAACACCAACTTCGGCCCTCTCGTATCAAAGCCCCACTACGAAAAGGTCGTGTCCTACATCAAGCACGGCATCGAAAACGACAAGGCGAAGCTACTCTGCGGCGGCCCCGAGACACCATTATGGCTCGCATCCCACAGCAACAAAGCCTACCAAAACGGCTACTGGGTCCAACCCACCATCTTCACAAACTGCACCGACGACATGAAGATTGTACGCGAGGAAATCTTCGGCCCCGTCATGTCCATCCTCAGCTACAAGACCATTGATGAAGTCATCCGCCGTGCAAACAACACAGATGTCGGTCTCGCCGCTGGTGTCTTTACAAAAGACATCAACCTCGCACACAAGGTCATCGCACAGCTAGAGGCGGGTATCACGTGGGTGAACACGTGGGGCGAGAGTCCAGCTGAAATGAGCGTCGGCGGCTGGAAGCAGAGTGGTGTTGGTGTGGAGAATGGTAAGAAGGGACTGGAAGCTTGGGTTAGGAATAAGAGTACGCTGGTGGAGATGGGTGGGGCTGTGCCTACCGTTTTCGCCAAGTTGTAGTCGGAGTGGGTGGAGGAGGCGATACTGTGTGTTGTTGCGTGCACGCAAGCTGTGGAGCTTGTAGTCGCGACATTAAGATATGTATTGATTAATAACAGTGACCCTAGAGCTTCTACTTAGTTACCCATACAGCAAAAACAGCAAATATGCTATGAATCTACGCCCAGCTTTAGTGCACTGCACTGGAAAAATGCCACTTTTGCGGACGTCTTTGTGAACGTGCCGACGTAGCTGGCCTTCAGAGATAAAGAGCTTTTCGCAGTAACATTATAAGGACTTGCTGTTCTTGGTAGAACATGTCCTCACAGATCCAGAGACGTGTTCGGAAAGGTAACTTGCGGTTACATTAGTGCGTACTAAGCTATCGGAAGCAAAAGGTCACTACCTATCCCGGTTCCATGTACGGAGAAGACGTGAGTGTATAAAGACCAATGGTGTGAGTTGATAGCTAATGAGAAATGAGACCAAGGACGTGAGTCAATAGCCAGTGTGAAAAAGGGTGCCAACGATGTGAGTCAATGAAGGCTTGGAAGATGTCTTCTGGTGAGGGAACTGAAACCGGTACTCATCGCCTCTCTTCATCCATTTTCTCATATCTTGAGACGTGAGGTCCTCTCTCTTCCTCCAGGGTTGAGGTGGACTGGCAGACGCCTATATTGGGGCTGACGGCTTCCTTGGAAGACCCAAGTCTGAGGGTGCAGAAGGCCCATCCGGAGGGCTTCTACTGGCACGCACCCTTTTAGATGGATGTTCGGAGCGACTGATAGTAGGAGAAAGAGTTGGCTACGGCTTGATAAGTGACATGTTGTCAAGTAGTGAGGGTGATTCACTTACAGGAGGTCCGACTGGCACCGAGATTTTGACACCGGTCCTTGTATTTCCATGTCGCCTGACCTCGTTTGAGATCGTATTTATAGTTTAATAACTCACTCGTGTCCAGTTGTGGCAGCGACGGGGCGAATGACGACTGACTGGCGACACAAGGAGCAGTCGTTGGAGATGATGACTGAATGGCGTCACAAGGAGGAGTCGTTGGAGTGGTGGTAGAACCGCTAGAGGTGAAGAAATAAGTGTCTCGCTTGATACTCTTTTCACGGATGTGCGGAGGAACCACACACGCCCTCGGTAGTTTACGAACGAAGGGGGCAAGAAAATCAGATTTCTGTAACAGCTGCTCTCTGGTCTCACCCCGCCAGTCGGACTTCAGGAAGGCGTTGTCTATGGGCACTGGCAGTCTATCTGGTTCGCGTATGTTTGTCTTCTTGTTTTTGTGCCCGCGGATAGGATCCTCCCTGTGCTTGAGTGGTGCAAGGTCGAAGCCAGTCTCGCTTCTGGTGATCATCTGTCCCCATGCATGGTCGTTATAGCTGAGCGTTTCAGCCAAGCGGCAGTTGGATCGCGGTCCGCCAAAGTGTCTGCATTCCGAGCACGGGTCATCATTGCCGCCGCGGCCAACCTTATCGCACTGAAAATATGTTAGCACCCGATGTACTCACGCGAGAGTAGACTTGCCTCTCTAAGCTGTTGCGTGCATCTCATGCACGCGATGCCCAGATCGTTAGGCACGTCCCAATCGTGGCGCCCCTCATCCTCGCGTCGGGCGGGATCCAGATTGTAGTGGTGGTAGAAATTGCATGCTTGTCCGCGCTTGCAGTCCCCCTTGGCAAAATTCTCGCACCCTTTGCGTACTGCCGGATTAAGAATTGACAGTAAGCTCATTTTTAGTTTAGAAGAGCGATTGAGGTGCAGTGAAGAAGTGGTCAGGAAGATCAGAGTGTGAGAGGGTGTTGCAGAATGCGAGAATGTTGCGGAGTGGGAGAGAGTGTTGCCGATCAGATTTGGAAAGAGCACCCCAACGCCTTCTGTTATGGTCTTGGCGCCCACTTCTTATTTGAGAAGCAGCGTTATTACAAGTAGTCAAGATCGCATGTACAGGGCAAGAATTATTGTACAGGTAGAGCCTTCACCCGTGGCGTACAGGCAGGTACGCTAGTCCCTGTTGAGCTGCATGTAGGAAGCCACATGATACATCGTCTTGGAGGGTTTGAAAAGAACGGAGGGAGAGCAGGAAAACATCAAGTTGTTCCCAAGCAGTTTTAAATTCATTCACTGTAGAAAAAGAGGCAGGACAGAGCATTTATCTCAACTGCCGCTATTTTTGTGAAGGACGCTCAAAGATTCGGAGTTTATGGTAGAAAAAGTGGTCCGCGCAGCGCAAGCATTTTTTAGGGGGAGGCATTTTAGTAAACGTGGAAGGGGAGGGGCGAATCATATTCCTCTTTCATCTCTCTCATTTTTCAAGATCAAGTTCACGGAGGCTTTTAAGGGGCTCGGGAGTTTCAAGCAGGAGTAAGAGAGAGAAAAACAGAGGAAAAAATATGTGCTTTCTACCCGATGTTTTTGATTTTGGGAAGAAGAGAGCAAAGAAGCAGCCGCACACTGTGGCAACTGAGACATGGTGAATTTAATGTTTCAGAAGTGCGAGTATAGAGACGATGCAGAAGAAAGAGAGAGAGAGAGGAAAGGCCGCGAAGGTTTTATACACACGTCTGAGCACGTGCCTCTATCGCGACATCTTCTTTCTAATTTAATTTCGTATGATTCTGCAAGCGCAGGAGGCCGAAAAAATAGATATTGTGACTGGATAATTTTTTATATTGCGGTGTAGTAGCTTGTCACGTGTTCGGCGTTAGGTAATCGGCGCTAGGGTTGAGTATTTTAGGACGACTCCGCGTAGAGGAGCTCGACATCAGTTATCGTACACCATTCTTAATACTACCGTTCATTGTTCGGGTACCTTCTTGTTCTCTACTCTCTACCGATTGCGGGTCGGCAGCCTCTCTTCTGACTATTGAGGCTATCCCTCTACCACAATATCTAAATCAAGCCATTGGGACTCGAGGGAGAACAGCGATCAGGAAGCGGACATATATAGCAAAAAGGCTATCTAGAGAAAGAGGAAAGCAGGACATTTTGATAAGATACGAACTCTTTGCGAATTTTCGGGAATAAGGAATGTAGAGAAGGCAGGAAGAGGTGGAGAAGGCGAGCGATTATATATGCGGGAATAGGCTAGTTTTGGTGGATAGCAACATCGTCGAGACGCCGCACTCATGCAGATGTCGCGTATAGTTTTTATAAACAAAGCAGTCAAATATAGGAGTTGTCGACAATTTTCAGGACGCAGCGTCAGGAAAGTATTGGAGTTACTTTTAGAGTTTCGGGAAGATAAGATAGCAGAAGGAGGAGAGAGAAGCACATAGCGTACAGATCGTTCATCTTTGTCTAGAGTAGATAGTACATTTTTAGAAAGTGGTAGAGCTCATCTACAAAAGCCTGTATGTTTCAATCGCAGTCTTTCGGGTAATGTAGAGAATGGGGCAGGAGACAGATACAGAACATTCTCTGTTGATATCCTATTTTAATCAAATGCCGAAATATTTTAGACTTTAAGTGGAAAGAAAGACGAGGAGAGACAGGCCCCAAGAACTTTGTATAGTGAGAAGCACGTGCTTCTCCTTTTCATGCGATGTTTTGGAGTTTATTTGAGAAAAGCGCAGACATGATACATTTGTAGATAATTTTCGAGTACGTTCTTTCCCAGCTGTGTTGATAGAAAAAGAGGGAGGAAGAATTTTGTATAAATTTTTTCTCATACATTTCTAAAAGAGTGGCAAACATACGAACGTCGCACCTCTAGTTTGTGAATAAAAAGTAATTCGAAAGGGGTTGGGGGAGAAGAGACCTCCTTTAGTCTCTACTATATGACATTTTAATTAGACTTAAGAACATAATAATTGTGCGGTCAAACAGAGATTTATATAGGACGCGGGCAGATACCCACATCGCCTAGGATTTGGCTGATTTAAGAGTTCCGAAGGTGAAGTTTTTAGACACGAAAACACATACCTCGAGTACTCAAGTCTTTTAGAAAATCAAGAAATCCTTAGGTTAAGTGAGGAAGAAGAACCAAGCAGGGAACATCGAACTTTGGAAAAAGTTGTTTTTAAGAAAAGTAGGTTTAGAATCGCAGAAGCACAACGAAATCATGTGACTCCGTAGTCTATGTTTTATTATTTTGACTAGTTTGTAGGTACTTTGGTATAATACAGGGAGAGGAATGATAATAGGTATTTGTATTTGTAGAAGCGCCTAGAATAGCGTATCGCTAGAGGCGACTATTCCAATAGGAGCTAAGATGCTCACATGATAGTTTCGACCACTCATTTTAAGGATACATTCAACAATAGATCTTAGGCACCCTGTATCCTAGCCTCTATTTTCGAAGATTTTGGCAGAAAAAACATATAAATCGGCGTTCACGGTTCTTAGACGCAGAAACACAGCATATGTCGCGGGTACAACGAATTTTAGAAGAGATAAAACAGCACTTAATCAGCTTTTAGGTATCATAGAAAAGGCTCTTAGTGTTTTTGGATCGAGAAGAGCACACTTTGCTCATGAATCTGGAGTGACAAGGTTTTCAGGAAGGGAAACATGCAAAGGCACACTCTGTACTTTGTAAAATGGGGACAGGAAGGTTATAAAGGAGTCAAGACCCCGGAAAGGTGTTTTTATAGTAATCCAATAGTCTCTTGCGCTGCTGCCGCAATGCAGTCGCTATGCACATTCTTGTGCTGCGTTTTGATTTTAAGAATACCGAATGATACAGAAGAAAGCAGAACATCACTTGGATCGGCAGGTATTTTAGAACAGGTGGTTTTGACTTAGTAACTGAGGGGATAGAGAAGGAAGCCGAGCGAGCGGTATATATGCAACTGCACAGCGCACAGACCATGTAGATGAATGAGTTCTTGATTCTGGGCGACCATAGATTACAAATTGATGTCTATTATCATGTCTCGCTTGAATTTGACCATTAGGACACTGCAGAGAAGATATGCGAAGATGGCCTCCTTGATGTCATGACCTCCTCCAACTCCTTCCTTGGCCAACATCATCGTAGCCCTGTCCCACCACCAACACAACATTCCCACGATGTAGCTACATCGCTGTTTTTGATGTAACTAATCAGAATAATCAGAATGATCAGCAAGTTCATCCTCCCCTTCAAACAAAGTCTCAAATTCACCAGTATCCGCCTCCCGAAATGCACGCATTATATCCACAGGCGAAAACATCAACCAGCCATTCCATTCAATCCTCCTCCTCCTCATCCCTCCACGGCCCTGTGAAGCCAGTACTCCCGGTTTCTCCATAGTGTTATGATACGCACTCAACATCTTCACAAACACATATCCTGCAGATGATGCCAAGAAACTAGGATGCAAATCTTCTGGCGGATTCGGTCCAGTAGGTTCGGGGGCGCATTGAAGGCTGTCAAGACACTCATCGTCAATGACTAGACACCAGTTGTACTGCGGACCTAATTTTTCCGGGTCAAGACTGGCTTCGTACTCGGGGTCAAAGCGGCGGGTTGGGTCGGCTATTTGCCCGTAGTGCTGGCAGAAATGCGTGCAGACTTCTGAAAGAGATGCGCCAGGGAGATATGCAGCGGGCTTGAGGCGAAGAGTGTCGATAAAGAGGTGGTTGTATGGGACGGGGTATCCGTAGCGGAGGCTGTCGGCGGCGTGGGCATGTAGCGTGTATAGCACGGTTTGGAAGTATGCCTCGTCTGTCGGTAAGAGAGTCAGTCGCCGATATTCTCCAGAGTTATTGTTCCATGAACTTGCCTTTTGCTGCCTTTTGGGCTTTGCTCTCCTCGATATCGTCATCTTTGTCGCTCTGCTCTTGCGGGCGCGCATACGTGCCGTAGACGTAAAAGCCCCAGGTCGGCTCGGCATTGTTTTCTTCCAGCCGCTGCAAAAAACCGTCGTGTTCGCGTTTCTCGAACACCATCGCTATAGGATCAGACCATCTGCGCATGACTGGCTATTAAGCAGCACAATTTAGAAATTGGCAAAGTTATTAGGACATGTAGTAGGTCACGTGGTCACGCTGCTGCCTTCGAAGGCTGCCGCCGGCCAAGGCGCTAGACAAAACCTTGATCAATCTCTAGCGAACAGAAAACATCGAACCAGGTTCGCGTTCCTTCCAACAGCACCCGCATATAAGTTCCGATTAACATGTTTTTAAAGTAACAACCTCAGAGAAATCATCTTGTGTTTCCATACGTTTCTATCAACTATATCCGTAAATATTTTGTCGTAGGAAAAAGGGGATGAGTCCTAGAACCTGAGCTTTCATTTCTCTCTTCTGAAAATCCTCCCATGCATTCGTTGATGTGCTGTTTACTTTTAGATACAACACATCCGGATCACTTGCCAGAAGCGCAGAAGACGCGCACAATCATCAGCAAAACAGCAGCGTACTGTCATTAGAGGTAACTTGCTCTTTTTTAGAAGACAGGAAAGCCGAGAGAAACATGACATGCTGATGACGTTAGTTTTAAAAACGCCCTGTCCGGCTCTATGATGGTTTCTGAGAAAATCGGAAAGTTTCTAGAGTGTGAAAGGGAGACACGAAGTCTGCAATCGAGGTGTATTTATACGCACGCACTCCGAGCGGACGTTAGTACATCGGCATCTAGTTTTAAAGACAGGGGGAAGAGAAGAAAGACATGAGTTGCGGGTGAGGTACATTTAGAAAACGCCATGTCTGTCTCCATGATAGCTCTTGAGAGAATCGGAAAGTTTTTGGGGTATAGAAGAGAACAACGAAATTGAACCTAGAGGTATGTCTATACCAATGCACCCTACGCATAGCCATATCCGCTTTGGTTTTCTGTTTGAAAGACGAGGGGAAGAAGAGAAAGATATAATGTACGGACCTGACTTTTTGGACTACTCCATGGTGCTCTCTTCTGGCTATTTTTATTTGAAGGAAATCAAATGTGTTTAGAGTATAGAATTGAACAATGACATCGACTCTAGATATGTTTGTGTACTCACATACCCCACGTGTGACCCGGCGTGTGGCTATATGAATAATCGCTTTTTATTTTTAAAAGAAGGAAAGGCAGAAGAGTCATGAGCCTAGCTGTCCAAGCTCTTACACACTCTCATCTTCCTCCTCCTTGTGATTTTAAACCCAGAAAGTCGAAAGTTATTAAGGTGTACAGAAGTGGAAATAATACTTCCGCCCGAACGGTATGTATCCTCACACATCCCATGCCATCATCATTTGTTTTCCTCTTTATTTTAAGACAGGGAGAGCTAGGGAAGTCATAGTATCGTCATCTGCGTTTTTAGACAACTCACAGTCCTCCTCAATTTCGTTTTAGTTTTAAGAGTATCCAAGGATTTTGCGGTAGGAAATGAAGAACCACGCTTTGAACTCGTAGTTTTATATCCAAGGAGTGTAGGCACAGGCACGGATACTATCCCTGACTTAGGGCAGGGAAAGCCAGAAAAGACATTTGCAATTTGCAGACTTTCCAAAAAGCAAGTTGACTTGGATTACTTGCTTGACTTGCTTGGTTTAAACCAAGCAAGCAAGTCAAGTAAGAGCTGGGCAGCTAAGCAAGCAAGTCAAGTCAAGATACTTTGCTTGCTTGGCTTACTTGGTTTACTTGGTTGTTTTAGCGTTACTGTGATGAGGGTGCTAAAACTGCTGTACGGTAGATGTCGCGATGGTTTTGAAGTGTTGCAGTTGCCTCGGTTGAGTCCCAAACAGGCTAAGCGGCTATCAAATAACGTTAGCCTTAGTCTAGCGCATTGCTCCAATCTCGACGTACGCCTGTCTAGAAGCCTATCGCAATGCAGTATCCCCTATAGCAACGCGTTTTCCAGTGATTTATACTGCCCTGATACCCCCAATATGGCCAAACGTCGCCTACCACAAACTTCTGCTCGGAGCAAACGTACGAAAGTAGCCGCTGCCACCAACAACGTCGCCTCAACTCCTGAGGCTTCACCTGAGCCTGCATCTAAGCCTGCATCTAAGCCTAGACCTCAGCGTCGATCACCTCGCAAAACCCTAGCTGCCGCAAGCCAGGCTAACGCCTCGCCGCCAATACCTACCTTCGAGTTGCAGTTCTTAGAGTCGCAGGCGGAGGCTGAGATTGTCGCGCCCACCGAGGGCAGCCGAGCTGGCACGGTGGCTACAACTGAGGCTGGAGAGGGTGGTCAGGATGAGACAAACAGCGCACTAGTTGAGAACTTTGACGGCATTGACTGGGCACGTTTACCTGATTTTATCAAGCCATTGGCGCGTTCTAAGCGCCCAAAAAGTTGGATCTTTCAGTATGGCTACCGCGTTGTTGAGCGCCATGCTACATCTCGAATCTGGTTTGTGTGCAAGTACTGCCATGTACACAAAACTATCGACGCTGGCCGTGGTGGTTTGTTTAACATTACTCAGGCTACAACCTCAGCAGCCACCCATCTCAGCCAACCAAAGCCTGGCCACAACCTTACGAAAGATGGCCCAAAGTTAGCGCAGAGAGCTCGAGGCCAGCTGTCGTTGCGGCAAGCTTTTGACGCTGGTTTAGACGTACAACAAAACACTGCTAACGCGTTTGGAAACTTCGACGTAGAGGGCTTTCGAACAGCCACTGTCATGTGGCTTGTTAACCGAAACCACCCGCTCAGCGAACTTACGACGCCTGATTTTAGAGAGATGATGAGATTTGCCAACCCAGAGGCAGAGGCAGCGTTGTGGGTAAGTAATACCAGCGTTTCTACCTTTGTGATGAGGTTGTTCCGGTCTATACGACCGCAAGTTATCGACACCCTGTCAGGCTCAGTAAGCAAAATACACGTAAGCTTTGATGGCTGGACAACAAAGGGTGGTAAACGTGGCTTCTTTGGAGTAGTCGCTCACTTTGCCGACGCAGCTGGAATAATACGAGACTTACCAATCGATCTGCCTGAGCTCGCTGGCGCCCACACCGGTGAGGCTATTGCCAAAGCTATCTCGACGACGCTCTCAGCATACGGAATAACAAGCGACCGATTAGGCTATTTTGTACTCGACAACGCTACCAACAACGACACTGCGATCGCCGCGCTCGCGCGCGAGTACGAATTTGAGTCCGCTCACCGGCGCCTCCGCTGCAGTTGTCACACGCTTAACCTCATCGGCCAGGCTATTATATTTGGCACCAACAAAGACGCCTACGGCAACACTCAAGAGCAGTACAATACCGAGGAGCAGTATATGCGAGAGTGGCGGAAAGATGGCCCTATTGGAGTGCTAGTTGACGTCATCAACTATATCAAAACGCCGCAACAGTACGAGCTTTTTCGTGGCTACCAGCGCCTTGCCAACAACAACCTGCCTGCTGAAGGGCGTCTCAAAGTACTCGAGCCAGTCAAGCCTGTCGTCACTCGCTGGAACTCATACTATGCTGCTTTTGAGCGCGCTACCAAGCTTCAAGCCGCGTATAACTTGTACGCTGAGCATCATATCAATAGGGTTATCCTTGAAGATGCGCACGCTGCGCAGCGGAATAATAAGCGGCCCGACGCCCCAAACTGGATGAGATCAACTGGGCTCCGAGCTGCTGACTGGGCGGTGATTGCAGAGTACCAGGACTGCTTAGAGCCGCTCAAGTACGCCACAAAACGCCTCGAGGGACGCTCTAAGGATGGCAAATACGGCGCAATCTATGAGGTTATACCCGTTTTTGAGTACGTACTCAGCAAGCTTGAGGCCCGGGCGCGCCCGTTCGAGCACGTCGACTTCAACGCTCATGCCGAGGCTCCAGAGGATCACCTCAACGTCAACCTCCGCGCCGCGTGGAGCAAAGCCAACGACTACTACAACAAGCTCGACGACTCGCCCGCTTACTACGCCGCTGTTTGCCTACACCCGTACTACAAGAACTACTGCGATGTGGCGTGGGCAGACAAAGCTGATTGGCTTACTAGTGCCAACGCGTCGTTCCAACAGCTTTGGGCGGCATACAAACCTCAACGAGCACGCCAGCGGTATACAACTGCGCCGAGTAGCAACAACATAGACGAGGCAATTATTGCTATACTTAGCCGCAACAATGACCGAGAGGCTCCACTTGACGAGTTTGAGCGCTGGAAAACACAAGAGCCGCAGTGGACGCAGGAGCAGTACAACGCAGATGGAAATCCTGTCCAATACTGGATACAACTACTGCCGAAATACCCGCATTTAGCGCAGTTTGCAATCGATATCATGACTATCCCAGCATCAAGCAGCGACTGTGAGCGCCTCTTCAGTGAGCTTGGCGACCTTCTTGAACCTAAACGACGTGCTCTGGGCAGTGAGCTACTCGCAGCTCTTCAATTAGTAAGGTCATGGGTGCGAGCTGGTTATAAACCGTACAACTGTAGCGAGGCTAAGCTTTCAGATGAGCAGCTTGTAGGAGATTACAACATACTAGAGTGGAACACTGAGTTTTGGTAATTTGTATGTAGCTTAATCTCTTTGTAGTTGTCAGATAGCAGGCGTGTCGAGCCGAAAGTGCCGACACCGCTAGCTAATAACGGGTTAGCGTCTTAGCAGAACAAAACTCTCAGCGCGCACCTTAGAACAGAGACAAGAACAAATAAATCATAAACATCCATCACTTTTGTGCAATATCTTATCTAATCTGACAATTAAGAGTCTCACTGCCTCTATAAAGAGCAACGAACACGCAATAATGACGATAAACCAGAACCAGAGGGACGCGACAGTTATCCTAACCGACTCGAGCAAATGGATCCCCTGGTACCGCCAAATCAAGATGCAATGCGAAGCCCTAGAGATCTGGGACATTGTAGATCCAGCGGGCAACACACAGCCTCGTACAAAGCCGACCGAACCTCTCCCTCCACTCGTATCCGACTATGAACCAGCCGCTGCTCTGAGAAATACATCATCAGCTCCATCCTCCTCTACACGAACCGCGAGAGCCAATGCCCGAGCGCCTACACAAGATACAGTTGACATAGTCAACCCTGCTG